CTATCTTCCCATTTCGTGGACTTGGTCGCGCTAATGGTGTTCTCGGATTGCGAAGACTCTTCGTCAAGAAAGTAAGTACCTTTATTGGACCTACAGTGCCTGCTTCCCCTAAATCTGAATCACAAATTGCCGAAACTTTGCTCAAAGCTCCTACTTTGGAAACCGTCGATTCACCTGTATCGGCCCCCTCTTGCCATTCCTTATATCCAAATGACCCGCCTCAACTGGGTTAACTCTTCCGTTCTATTCACAATCTGGAGAGCGGGGCTTGTATGGAAGCTGCCGAGATCCAAAGGCTTCACTAATGATAAACGAGCCCAGGTCTCTGTTCTTTGTGAGCGTCTTTTTGAGATAGCCAACGTCTACACAAGCCCGGATCAAGGAGTTGTTTGCAGAGGACGCTATCCCCAATCTTCCCTACAATTCTGGGTATAGGAAATCGAAGCCGTAATCAAAAAATCAAACCATAATGAATTCTTATGTGGGATTTAGTAAACTACCAATTAAAGTAGATTTATTTTAGCTCACACCAACTATGACAAAAAATGTACTATCTCTGAAAAAAAATCATTGATGATGGTCACATAGTAATATTTAAAAAGAAATCTTGTTTTCTATGTGACAAAGGTAAGCCTCTAAATCTAGACATATTTGCTAATCATGAAAATTTTCAAAGTTTCTATAGACGTTGTGCCAGATTGTACATTTTATTGTATAAAAAATATGTTTTAACCACTATTAACAAGCAATCTACACTTTTAGATCTTTGTCACAAATACTTATGCCATATCAGTCATCAAATGGTGTATCGCATGTCAACTTAAAAATTGGCATATAATAATTTATAGCTTTGTTGTATGAAAGAAAAATGCAACACTTGCATCTTGGCTAAACATCACCAAGATTATATTCTAAAAATACATGATCACTCAAGTTACTAGAGTACTCCAATTGCTACACATAGACATTTATAGTCCAATTATCTTGTCTATTATTCTTATTGTAATTAGAATTATGTTTTGATTCACTTAAACAAGACATCATTTGGATTCTAAAAATTTATCTATTTTCTCAAAATAAAATAATAAATAAATAAATAATATTCTTGTAGCTTCTATTGTTTTTACAAAGATGATAAATATGTATCTTTTGACTTCTTAGAATTTTATGCTTCAAAAGATATCCATCAATAATTTGCAATTGCTTGTACTCCAAACCAAAACAATACAACATAGCATAATAATAAAATTCTTCTTGAAGCAGCCTAAAATACATTCATTAGAGCCAACTTTTTTATTCACCTTTGGCCAAAAACGATCAGTTCTACAACTAATATATTCAATTGCTATGATACCTCTGCCTTTCATTTTTTCACCTTTTACCAAGCCTTCTACAAGAGTATTCTTTCCATTGTCCATCTTTAAACTCTTAGTTGCACAATAGAGGTCATTATTCTTTTCGATTTTCATTCAAAGCTTTATACTAAAGTTCTTTTTATTGTTTCCATAGCCTAAAACAAACAAATCAAGAAATATTGTTGCTGTTATTCTAAAAAGTGTTGCATCATCATCTTTCAAGGTGTTATTGTTATTAAAAATTATTCCAATAATCTTAAACTTTCTTCTTCTTTCCTAGAAATTGAATGTTTTTCGTTTAGAAGATAAGAAAAATTAAGAATAATATTCAAATAAGTCTACAATAAGTTATCAATAACTTTGTAAATCAAAAAATAAAAAAATAATGTATTAAAGCCAGCTATATTAAAACCAATTTGAAGCAACTTACCATTCCAAGAGTCATTTTAGGATTCAAAAGTTGCAATGCCATTATAAAGCTTATTATGCACTAAGAGAATGTGCACAACATAAAAGGATTATGATTTGAGCATAATAAAAGACAATACTGTCTTTTGGGCGGATGTACAAGATTCAATAAGTAACAAACTTATATTCAAGAGGCTATTAATCACAAATGGTGGAGGTAGTCTATAAAAAGAAGTTGATTTACTAAAGAAAAACAGAACTTGGGAGTTAATTCTTCAATCCAAAGGTAGAAAATTTCTTATGTCAAAATGGATCTACATAATAAAGCCAAATCAAAGTCTACTCAAATAAAGTTCAAACTTCATTTGATTATAAGGTTAAACAAAACGTATTGAAATCCAAAAGATCATATAACAAAAGCTTGTTATGCTCAAATCCAAAAGATTTAATTTTCTTTATACAAACAATCACAACAATTAGATAATATTCTAATCAAAATTGTCAATTTTATAGATGATGCTATTGATGCTATATTGCATCAATGTGTATAATAATGGAAATGCAATGATTCAAACCTAGCAATGTTTAAACATGTATAGTATAAATGAATGTTTTTAGATTTCTTAACTTTGTTGTAAGTATGTTTATCATAATGTTTAATTTTAGTGACTCATTCTTAAGAAATTAAATCTTTCACAATAAATTTTTCTAAATTTAAATTTATTTTGATTGATAAAAAATATATAACATATTGAAAAGTTAAAGTAGTTAATTAAATTTGCTTATTAGAAAGAGATTGAAACTTTTAGTTGATCTTGCATAAGACAAGTAAGAAGATGTTAGATTTTTTTTGTGTGTAGTATTGTGATTTGAAATATATTCAAATTTTTTTTATTTGTTTATTTTTCTATAAACTTATTACATGATATTTATCTTTTTCGATTTTCTAAGGAACAAAAAATATCTTTATAGCTAAGTAAATTTAAAGATAAATAAATTGATATTATTACATATTAATGTATTTAAATAAAAAATATCAAAGAAGAAAAAAATAAAATAAATATTGGTATTTTATTAAAATTTTAAATTTATTTGATTATTATGATAAATACATATGGCATGAAAATAGATCACTTTGTAAATCATTATGTAAGAAAAAGTAATATATTACTAAAGTAAAGAAAGATGTTGTACTTAAATATTATTATATAATTTGGAAATATTTAAAATATTAATTAATTAATTAATTTTTTCTAAAAATATTACGTAATACATCAAAAAAATTTGTTGACATTTTATTAATTCACATTCACATAGCTATAAGTCACTATAAAATGTCAGTAAAAAATGAATATATTAATATTTGATTAAAAATCTATTCAAAAAATAATTAATTAATATTATCAAAAATATTATTTATAATTAAAAATTAAAGTTAATTTTTCTTAATTAATTTTAAAAAAAATTTCACAAAAAAAAATTTTAATTTTTAAATTTTAAATATATATAAGTATAAAGATATTAAAATAATAATTAATTTTACAATATTAAATCCTTAAACTTTTATTTTTAGATTTTAATGTATAATATTTAAAATAGTTCCATTAATATTATTTACAAGAATATTTAAAAAATAGTTATATTATCATTTCAACTTTGTTATAAAAAAATGCTTTTTGAAGATAAATAACACTTAGAAGCCAAAACTTATATATATATATAAATAAAAAAAAAAAAAAAAAAAAAAAAAAATGTACAAGGTCTTTTACAAAATCAATTTTTAAAAAGTAATAATGTAAATCAAATCTTAATTAAAAAGTAAAAATATTTTTTATTTTTTTATTATGCAAAAGTAATTCTTATTTAAGAACTTTACAAAACAAATATTTATAGATATAATCAAAGATTCAAGACTAACAAATAGAGAAGTATGTTCTATATATTTATAAAGACTTTATAGGTTTTCTAAACTTTTGAAGGTGCAAAAGAGTGAAAATCATTAAATATTTTTGATACATATAAAATACAATATATAATATGGAATTTTATCTTATCTTTTCTTTTCTTTATTTTTTTGCAAAAGAAATAAAAAAATTATTTTAAAGTACATTCATAACATAGATGTGTGTGTGAATATATATATATATATATATATATATATATATACTAAAATATTAAAATTTTCATGTGATTAAGTTATTTGAGATTTAAAGATTTTCATTAGGTATATAAATAATAATATGTAATTATTTTTTAAATGAACGAGATTTATTACAGAAATTTTATTTTACAAATTTTTTAAAAGGAATAAAGGAGATTTGGGATCTCTCTTTCATTGCTTTGTACTAACTCCAATTTTGAAGCACTCTCAAATATCAAATTCAAGCACACTCATACTATGAGGGCATATGCTCACTTGATACTATCTGCCCCCTCCCACTTCCTACTCCCTCTTTGTGCTAAAAAACATAGTCATTACATCTTTATATTTGCTAAGAAATCAAGGGGGAATCAAATGAATGAGTTAGCAAGGTTTTTCTGTTCCCAAATCATAAAATAGCTACAAAAATTTGAATTATGAAAGTAAGGTGAATCAATTTAAGATTTAGGCGGGTTAATTCAATATTCCTCAACATATCTACACACAGTCATGTGACACAAAAATTTAATTGACATTTTCAGTTATGGTTAAGAATAAAATCAATTAAAGAAATACTGTTGTGTGTTGTATGTACATTAAAAACTACTTGTGTGAAACAAGAATAGTACACCAATATCCAACATCAAAACGTAACCAATAAAGCAATTCGTTTTTTCATTACACAGTTAAAGCTAACTTGTCAGAGTGAAATAAATAGGGCCAACGTCAGATTCAACCAACAACGGAACCCCAGAGAGTCGGTAAACGTGGTCGCCGCCAGAAAGGCCACGCGGAGCTCCAACGTGGCATGTCAACAAGGCTGTCGAAAAGGAAGTCTGGCGTGGAATTGTATTGCACAGACAATTTCTGAATGGAAACATGGATTTTGGCGGACCTTGACGGGCGCGGCACGCTGCCCCCGCCGGGCGGCTGCCGCGTTGTGCCAGAGCTCCTGGATCCCCGAGCGTGTGTCTGCGAAGGGAATAATAAGTCAGAGATGGCTCCGTAAAAGTATTCAAAAGTTGGGTGCAAAAGCGGAAGTCGTTGACGACTTCTCTCACTCCACACACGAACCTCGCGTATAAGAAGCGTTTCGGTGAAACAGGAGAAGGAAGAAGTTGTGTGAAGACAAGAGCGAGACAGAGACAGGAACGGGAGAGAGACGTAGAGAGCAACCTTGGGATTGCTGAGGTGTTGTGTTTTCGCACACCCTCATCGTTACCCGAGAACTCACATTGGAAGTGCAGATTCAAGCAAAAGCCTGAAGACCTCGGGACCTTTGAGCTTAATTTTCTTTTCGTCCTCGAAAATGGAATTGTGCAGTGGATTTACACCTCGTCACAGTTCTAGCCCCGTCCAAACGATGCAATTGTCGAGGAGGCCTTGTGATAGTTTCGTTGCAAGGGCTTCGTCTGTAAATTTTCATGTGGATGCGCCCACAGCAGTGAACTTCGGGAAAATTCTTGGGGTAAACCCGAGCGCTAGCAAATCGGAATTGAAGGCTGCGTACCGGAAGTTGGCTTTGCGATTCCATCCCGATGTTTGTAAGTCTGGTGATAAGAGCGAGGTTGATTTCATGGAAGTGAATAGGGCTTACGAGTCCCTCATGGCAATCGCATCCTCGGGCAACCAAGTCCAACAAGGATATGTGTATTCCTCATACGACGGCGAATCATCCGCGTACAATGGGTTCGAGGCGGCCAAGTCTGCATCCGCCGGACAGGAAGATGATCCATGGGCGTCTTTCTTGCAGAGTCTAGTGAATGGTACTCACGAGGAGCTTCGGGAAGATTACTCAAATTATTACAGTAACTTGAAACAATACTCTAAAGCCAGCCGCAACAAAAGATATCAATACTATCAAGGGAACTGGTAGCTTGTCACGACCAGACGCTAACTCGGATTGGAGCAAAATTTTATTATCTCAAGAATTCTTGAGCATTCTTTTGGGTGAGCAGTGTTGTGATGGCAACACTACGGATTTAACTTTCAAAAAAAGAGATCCAGTGTTGGCATCATCTGCTCGATCCTCCTCTAACTAGAGAACTTTAGCGATAGAGCAAAATTATTATTTTGATAGGAGTCCATGAGGTTGAAACGGAACCACCTTTGCAACCGCAAGCACCGTGTTGCTACTGTACTTTAGTCCTTCTCAATCTACTGGACATTGTCCTTGGAACAATTTTTTGCGTCAAACTTCAGTGGTCTGTCTTCACATCAATTGCTACAGTTTGTCGTTCCGTGTTCAAATGTCTCGAATGTCAAGGATCACTGCAAGGCATCCTTAAAGGTTAAGGCATCTCTACAACCGCAGGTGATCAGAAATAGGAGGATTCAAATAAATGAGCAATCAGGATGGTTTCATCGCAAAAAACGCATTCAAAAGCTATACTCTTCATGTTGATTTATTTGTGTAGTTCATCATTTGTAACGCTTGACCATGAAATTTGCATCAACTCACACAAAATTGGACCATGAATTCCATTGAACTCAATACATGCATGTGAAATGTAAATGATCAGGTTCTGTGTTTTGAGTTGAGTTATCTACCCAACTTGCTACACGCAAGCAGCGTGCTACTGATACAGTTTCAGTCAGACTGATGAAACACATTGATAGATGATTTTCTTCTGAAAATTTAGAATTAATTTGTCCGTTACCTCTGCAGAATTCGAATACCTCCCAAGTTAAAGTATAATTTATCACGTCAAAGTTCAACTTTGTTAATGCTTCAACCAAGTACGGATCATAGCCTGATATGCAAAGCATGAACTTTTAAGTAACTCCCAAAAGCCAGCTGTTCCATCCTGGAATCATAAAGAGCAAAGTGTAGTTACTTCACCACAATAACCAACTCTATCTTCTGCCAACATAAATTCAAAGGAGATGGTCTTTGCAAAGCTTGTCAAAGCTCGAGTATTTTTTGCTTTTGAATATGACGTGTGTGTTGGTGAGTAATCCTTGGGTCAAAATCTGTCTACAATTATCATTTTCTTCAACTCAAAGTTTGTGCGGAATCGCAAGAGTCGTGGAAAAGAAGAGGAATTGTGCAAAGCTCTCAAGGCTTTATGCTGTCTTTCCTGAAGGAACGTGGAAAAAGGATCAAATCTTTGCAACAATACAGCTTTTGAGAATGAATTTTTTGTTGCAGTGAAGTCGTGGACTATTTTTAGTTGGGTATTCGTGATCTTGCAATTTCTGGGCATTAGTGTGTGAGACCTATCTGCTCTGTCGGTAGTGGATTCTCAGTCTCCTCTCCGGCATGTGGGTTCCATGTGCCAAGTTGTCTAGATTCGCAAAACAGTGTGGCCGTTAAAATGTTCAAAAAAATGAGATTCTATTTTTCATTTATCATCACAGGACCACCTCTAATTATTCAGTAAAAGTCATGGTCCATCATCTTGAATAATTACCAAACCCTAAGTGAGAAAATTCATAGAACTACATGAACTCATTAATAATAGAATTTCAACTATTAAAATTACCAAATATTTAATAAAAAATTAAATATTTAAAAATTCAAGAATATTGTAACACAATCGAAGGATGTACCAAACAATAAACAGTGGACATGTAGGTTATGAAATAAATATATAAAACTGTTTCAGACACTACAATATATTCATGTCAGAATATCGACATAACTGTACTTCAACTTGTCACTACAATTATATTTTTTGGCTGCAAAATATAGATATTGTCCTTGGAACAATACATTTTTTTGCAGCCAAAAAATATATATTGAAAATAATACAAAAAAGCAACACACTTAATATAATTTTTATCTCCAACATCTCTATAAATTCAAAATACAAATTATTTTTACAAGTAAGTTTATTAAGAAAGAAGTTATATTTTACAGCTTTTTTATTCTTCTGAGTTTATCTTAATTATAACTATTTTCAAAATTATAAATATTTACAAACAAAAAGTATAATCTTAAATTTGAACCTTGATTAGTTTTTTATTATTATTATTCTATCTCTATAAGATTAATATAAATAAATGCATCATTTATTGCTTCAATATGCACTTCTTATTTCTTAAGAATTGTAAAGTCCTTCAATTTGAAGGTAAAAAAATCCTTAAATTTCTCCAAAATTTGAATTTTATTTTTGCAATTCTACTTAATTTTCAAACCTTCTATATGATTCCTAATTTTGTATTATTAGTTGTGATTTGTTCATCTTATTAGTAAATGGTATCTTTTATGGTTGTAATGAAATACAATCCTTTTTTTACCAAATAGCTTTTATTATGCTTTTATGCCCAAAAACTTTTTAGTTTTAAATTAAAATTAATTCTAATTGGTTTTTAAACATTTCTTGTATCAAATAGAGTCTCAATATATTTTTTAATAATGTCAAATTCATCTTAAGATACAAATCAATGTTCTTTCATGTGTTTTTTTTGTATCCCACTATTTTAAAGAGTACATAAGCTACTTTTTTTTACCTTAGTTTATGCTATTATCCAAAATAAGAAGTAGACTAAATAATGCAATGTTTATTGTAAAACAATAAATATAATTTTTTTATATTTTCTATCAAAAAAACATTTATATTTTATATTAAAAACTTTAAATCTATTATTAAATCAAGTGGAAACTTTCTTTGTTACATAAAAAATAAAATGATTAAGCAAATAAATTGTGCTTAACAAACATTCTATGGTTTATTCTTGTTAGGAACCTAACAAGAAATGTTTCATATGTTTTGTATCATATGAAATTTCAATAATTATATTGTACATAAGAATATATAATTCTAATATATCAATATAAAATTATAACTCTATATATTATTTATTTATATATATATATATATATATATATATATATATATCATCCATGCACAAGTGGAGGTAGTCATGTTTAAATTGCATCTAATTGCTCAAAAATAGGCCAATAAAATACAAAATTCCTATCTAAGCACATGCATACATGTACTTGAATATGAATTAAATAAGTTTGTCCAAGTTTGCCACAAGTCAATGATTAATCTTAATCTTCTTTAATATTGGGATTATTAAAAAAATATTAATTATAAAAATATATTATTTCTAAAAATAATAATAATATAGAATTATAAATTATCTATAATTATCTATAATTTTTATATTATCATAGATATATTTTGTTTTTATATGACAAGCATATTTGTATTTTATGATAGTATGACAATTATCCAAAAATTTGCAAGATTTATTTTGGATATGTAATTTAAATGATATTTTAATTTTAATTCTAAAAAAATTATTATAAATTAAATAATAAATAAATATACTATAATAACGATACTTTATATTAAAAAATTAATATTATGAATTTATTTATTTTAAATTTTATATATATATATATATATATATATATATATATGTGTGTGTGTGTGTGTGTGTGTGTGTTTGTGTGTTTGAGTATGTGTGTGCGTCTATTTATTTTAAAGTATAAATTTTATTTTCTAAAAATAGAATATATATCAGTTAGATTTATAAAATAAAAAATAATTTAATATAAACTAGACAGTTAATAAATATTTTAAAAACTATTAATAAATTTAAAATAATATTATATTTTAAAATATATATATTATAAATTTTAAAAAAATCTAATAAAATATTTTTTTAAACATAATCTTGGTAAAATGAAATTATACATGATAGATATAATCTATAATAAATAAAAATAAAGTGTTTTTATTGCTACCATAGTTTTTTTTATTGCCACTACAACTTGCAATCTATTCCATGCTATCACATTATTTGCTAATGCCCCCACAAGTTGCCCTAAACTTGTGTGGCACATCACAAACTACTTCATAAAACACTAAATTACACATCTATGAAGAGTGTTCACTTTATTTATTGTGATTTGTAATTGTGATGTTTCATAAAGTACATTGTAGTGTACAACACAAGTTTAGGGCAGCTTGTGGTGGCATTAGAAAAATATTATGATAGCATGAAGTAGATGGCAAGTTGTGGTGGCACTAGAATTATGTCAAAAATATAAAAATAAATAAGTATACATATACAAAAATATTAATATATTTTTAAAAGTGATAATTAAAGCATCAATTTATAAAAAAATATAAAAAATTAAATATTGATAAAAAAACATCTATTATATAACAATTAAAATAATAAGTAGTATTACATGATATACTGAATCAAATATAATACATTTATGTATCAATTGTTAATTTTATTCTTTTATATTGGGAGGTATAATTTTATGTTTTCTTTGCAAATATACCTAAGCAATTTTATTATACTTTTAATGGATGAGCTTGATTATTTGTTATATGTTCAAAAACCATGTTTATATGGATTGGATTTATAGCATTTCTAAGAAGTAATATATTTTTGTTTTTATTGATCATTTGTAATGGTATAAAAACTGTGTGGTCCTATTAGAAAACATGTTCTTTTAGATCTCTTCAAAGTTCATTCTAAAACTTTTATGATGTATGTAGAATATTTTGCATATAAATTGGAAGATTGGAAAAAACCGCCACTAGACTTTATTCTACAAATGAATATTACAAATTAGTTTATTATTTGTGAAAGATTGTGGTCAACAGGCAAGCATTGGATTAGGCATTGGATTAGGCAAGCATTGGATTAGGCAAAAAACTTTCTTTAATAAATCTAATGTAAATTCAACACCTCAATAATAATTACAAATAATAGATTTTCTAATTTGGGCTCTTTCTTAGTTTATAAAGGTCCAAGGTCAAACCTAAGTGGTACTGTGAAGACACAATTTTTTTAATATTCGGATGTAGAATTATTATTTTTAATTCCCCCTTTGTCTATTCTCAATTTCTCAATGTTCTCTCCGTTAGAATTCTCCTCTATCTAAGCCCATGAATGCTTGTTGAGCCTTGGAATTCTCCTCGCCATACACGCTCTTGAATTAAGTGGGCAGGTGGGCGAAAAAGAAAAAAAGAAAAAAAGAAAACCGAATTTTCCCAAATTCCACAGATCATTGAAAATTAAAATTTACTAATCAATCCTAGATCATAGTTTGGGGTTAGAATAGCCCTAATCCCAAGTTAGGCAGGGCATCCCCACCATCAGCTGCCCTATTCGGATGACTATCACCGCATGGATTTCCGTTCATAAGCAGACCAAGCACAGCAGCCGATCGGCACGTGAGTCTGTGGGAGGCCCCTTCCTCTCACACTATTTCCACGTTTGGAATCTGTGACATTCCTCTCACCTTCTCCGAAAGGTCCTCCTCATTTCCAACTTACCGCCCTACCGCCTAACAGCTGTCAGCGAACTAAAGATGGGTTCAGCAAAGGGCCACTGTACACACACATGAGAAAAGGACAACACTTGCTGAAGTCATGTTGATTTCTGACATATCGTCCAGATTGATAGTTGACTTTGAAGAAACGGATAACACAAATTCTTTGCCTCGGGACTCTGTGAGTCTTTGTCTGTGGAAAATAGGTTCCTGGTGACGAGACTTTAGGCATTCGTGTTGCAGTTGCCACATCGGGGATCGTTGCAGCTCATGCAGTGGATTGACTGGAGCTCGCTGTGGACAATCTAATCGGCCAGCCAGTAGCACTTCATTAAGCCTTATGTGCAACGTCTCCGTTCTCCAAACTTTTAGCAAAGTCCATTGCTCCAACCGTATATACTCACGGCCCAGACATGTGTTGGCAAGGTTACTCGGGCATGGGGGGGGGGGGAGGGTGATGCGAGACGAAAATCAGGTAAGTTTCCATGTAGATGGGTGAGAAACGGACCAAGATGTTGCGCCTTCCACACACACGACCGCGTGTTAACATTTCAGCTTGTTAAACACAACGTCAATCAAGTATTCGAATGTCTGTTTTCAGTATAAGAGGGACTGATTGGCTTTGAGCTAAAGTGAAAAAGGTCCTTTGCGTTAAAATATTGTTTTCGCTTTGGCTTCGTCGGACTGAGGTACTTCCCCAAAAATGGCGGTAAGGACAGATCACGAAAATGGTCACGCCTCGTAGCTAGTCAACGGTGTCTGTGCCAGGGAGCGGATATGCGTCTGTAAATGATACAGAATCAATTGGATGTGTGTAATATATATATATATATATATAAATATATATTTTGGATGTGTCTGTGTGTGTCCTACCATCCAACCCTCGATCACACGCACAACTTTTCTAGAAGTTGTGAATCAATTTCATTGTTTTACTCCAAACTTTCGGTGCTGCAACAGTGGCCTGACGTTGGACTCTGTTGAGACAAAACTCAAGAAGCGACCATAATTATCGTAGGGCAGAGATGGCATTTATGTAATGGCTGGATTTAGCAAAAACTTCATATTTTTTGTAACAGTTTATATTGTTATTGCCTTAAACTATACGTTGCAAGTCTAGAAGTTTTTCGTACTTCCTTTAACAACTTTGCAGTGAAATCTCCTCTTATTGATTCAAGTGGCCAGTATTGCACGGAACAGCGGCATTCTATAATGATTATTTTCAACAATTGTAGATTGCTGAGGTTGGCTTTCCACGTCCTCGTTTTCACAGGAAGAGTTACAATTGCGTGTCCAGGGTTATGGTTAATTTAGCGTGCTGATAGGATTAGCGCCATGATGCTCATTGCATTTAGCTGTTCGTTCTAAACCCAAAACCTGGGTCTTCGTTGAAAGAAAGCTGAACTTATGACGGTTGTTACAGCATCCGTCAATGGCAGTAATAACTCCCTTCAGTCTTGTGCGTGTCTTCTCCTGGATTTTTATAGGTTGCATTGTACTGAAGATTTGTCAGACCTTCGCGCAAGAGTTTCAACTTTCCTACAATACGCACATATTTGCTGCGTTCCAGTGGTCGGCCATGGTGAAACTAAATTAGGAAGCCAAAACCGTTTCCCATGAAAGCGCAGATGGGGAACTTGCGAAGTAGTTCAGACTTGTGCTAGACTCTGAAAAAACTAAGAATAACATTTGCAATGGAAATCAAATACTCCTTCAGTGCCCACATCATTGGTACAAGAAAACCGACATTTCAGATAATTTTCGTACTGAAAAGTAACATGATAATGAAGAATCGAAAAATATGTTCCATGTTACCAGAAAAGGCGCCCTCAACAATTGAGAACGAAATATTCGAAGTACCCGTAGATACTGATAGGACATCATCGATTACATCTCTAAGTAATTCGATACGTACTCAGCTTCCGAGAAATTAGTAATCTACCCTCGATTTTGCGTCTGAGTACTAAGTCTACCAAGACATTTCTAAAAATGGTCCACGATATAATGTCGTGTGTATGTGTATATACGTATGTGAATATATATGTAAAACCACCCCCCGGCTCCCTACTTTTAACCTATACAAGATCCAGGGACGAAATCAGAGTGCTTATTGTTGAGCACACTGGATGCGAGGTCCAGAGGACTCCTCATCCTCATCATAGGCCTCTTGTTGCTGCTGATGTTTCCTTCTCATTTCCTCCTCGATATTAACATCAATCAAAGTTGTTTCCTCGCATTCGTCTAGATCCATGTCAGTTAAATGGCTGGATGCTCTGGGTGGAAGAATAGATTCCAACATTCTGCACTGCTCCGACGACAGTGAACCCGACTCAGGGAACTCCACCGTAAAGTGCAAATACAATTTACCCTTCATGAAAGGTCTCTGATACTGTGGCATACCCTCGTCGTTGATAGCCTTAAATTGACCTACATGCCGGAATGTAACGTTAGACGAATCACCCAACCACCCAACGAAAAACACCGTCGCGACAATCAATGGCAGTAGTCACTGTCCACAACATTTCTAACACATTGCAACCGATCACTACTTTCTTAATGTACGCAATACCGTGTGAAACTAGTACCTGGTTTTACGATTTCTCCAGGATTTGTCTTGATCAGTAGCTGTCTTCCGTCCAAATGCGTCAGAGGAAATTGGAAACCACACAACGCTTCAGTCAAGCTCAAAGTATGCTCCACAAACAGATCATCCCCTTTCCTCTTGAACTTCGGGTGCTCCTTCAGTTGCAAAACGAATACAATGTCTCCTGTCACTGTGTCGGGCTGCAACAAACACATCGATCACACAAAATGCAATCTAACCGTCAGCATGTTTCCAGAATAACATTAACTTTTCGTATCAGACAATCCATATACACATCCAAGCGTTATCCTGTTCACAAAAACTTCTACGAAATTTGTTGTCAGAAGAGCACGCCTTGAACGCACGGAGAGTAACGCACCGCCTCATCAGCCTCGCCTTGGAAAGTAATCTTCTGCCCATGCGCCATGCCCTTCTCTACATGAACCTCCAACACTTTCTTATCCTGCACCACCTTCTGACCCTTGCATTGCCCACACTTGTCCTTTTCGCTAATGGTCTCTCCTGAACCTCTGCAGTCTGAACATACATGTTGCATCTGCTGAATCATGTTCGGTCCCAACTGGCGAATTGAGACCTTCATGCCTGAACCTTGACATCCTGCGCACCGACTAGATGCACCAGTCTTCGATCCTTTCCTGCACAATTCAGATACCAGATACGTCTGTCACAACTAGTAATAAACATTTACCTTCAATATATTTAGAACAGAAGTATAAGCCGGAGATGAAAACAGAGGACGAGTCTGACTCGACACTTTACCGAAACTTATTAAAATTATTACGCCAAATTAAGTAGGTGAAGATGCACACGAATGTACAAAAAATGTATTTTCATTATTACTACTCGTCATGTTGAAGTCAGACTTGCAACAGCAGCAAACAAGGTTACCGAATGATTCAGACATTTTGATAACATACCATCATTACAATAGGTTATAAACCGGTCCAGAAAAGCGTCACTAGATCTATACTAACGAGTACTACAATGCATCCTCCGCAGAATAGTAACAGAACATTCCACGTCTTTGACAGTTAAATTAGTGTTAAGCACGCAGATCTCAAACTACCGTTCTCACATCGCAATTCTAATCTTGCAAATTCAATTAACCAAATAGCTTACCCTTTACATTTGGAGCAAAGTACATTCCGAGACAATGACAGCTTCTTAGAAGTGCCATTGTAAAGATCTTCCAATGAAACCTTCAAAGGATGAACTACATCTTCCCCTCTCCTTTGTCGCCTGCTACCACCCCTCCCACTTCCGCCAGGAAATGAATCTGGCAATCAGGAGATCGATCTCAGTTACTTAGTAATTGCTCACATGTCCACAGCGAGAAAGAAAAACAGTAAGAGAATGAATTCGAATCCACAACAAAGAAAGACAAATTTTTAGCTTAAATCGGGTGTACCTCCAAATGGGCTTCCACCACCGCCAAAGAATGACTCGAAGATGTCAAATGGGTTGTGCCCTCCACCTCCACCCATTCCTTCCTTGAGAGCGTCTTCTCCATACTGATCATACAGTTCTCGCTTCTCGGGGTCGCTTAAAACTTCGTACGCTTGTGAAATCTCTTTGAACTGCGAAAAAGATCACTCAAGTAAGCAGGTATATATGATATTTACAAACGAGAACACCGACTCCACAAAGCACGATCTCCTTGAAGTGCCAACTTCAAAATATTAAGCATTCCGCACGTGGCTCACTGACAAACTACAGAGCAACGCCCATCCAAACACCAACGTACCTTCTCAGGGTCACCACCCTTATCCGGATGGTTTTTAATTGCCGCCTTCCTGTAAGCTCTCTTCAGCTCATCTTGCGATGCACTCTTCGACACCCCTAGAGCCTCATAATACTTCGTGTTATCACTCTTCTTCGGCATACGCCCGAACATGGCTGCTATCAGTGACTATCAAAACCACACTACCAAGAGAAAGGAGAAACTCAAAAACTCGATCACCCAGAGCAAGAGCCGCGACTTCGCAACCCTGTCACGCCCCTCACTATGATCCCGACCCCGCCTTCGCAACGAGAAAATGAACTACTAAAACACGACTCCAAAACGTAATCGCACACCAAACGATCTAATCACCGCCAATAAATCACTAACTGTGAGGCGAGTTGTAGCAGTAAGTGCGGAGGATTTCCAGTTCAAAGCTAGCGCTGAGATTGTGCACCCGGCGCAACCCTGGTCCGATAGAAAATTGGCCCCAAGAGACAAGATTCAGTACATTTTGTTGCTTCCATTGCAACGAGCTCCGGGACTTTCTTTCCCTTCCATAGACAAACCAGAAGCCTCCAGACGGCCCGTCTCCGCCGTCAATCCACGCAACTGGTGACCAACCAACGGTTGAGATGATCCAATTGTCCCCGAGGCGATTCAGAAGCCTCTAGAGCTTTGGGCGATCGACCGTCCATCGTATCGTTCGGAGTCAAAATTGGAGGGCTGAGATTGGAAGTTCTACTCCAGTGCAATTTCATGTTCGCTTTTCCGGATTCTGCCGCTGGTTCTCGACGCTTCAGATTGGTCCTGATCGGACGGCTTGTGTTTGCTCCGTCGTTTGGAAGGTCCTAGAAGTGTCTCGGGGCCAGGTTTGGGGGAAAATGAGGGTGTGTCCAGGTGCCACGTGGCAATCCTTTTGCTTTTCGTCCTAAAGGAGTTCACAAATTATGACGTCCGTTATTATTTATTTATTTATTTATTTGTATAATCTCAGTTATAAATCTTGTCCAAAAGATTATTTAAGAGGGATTTGTATGAAAGTAATTAACTGCCACATCAAAATAAAAATAAAAAAGGGTTCAAAAACCATACCAGAAAGAATTGAAATGAGAGTGGAAATGTATATAAGGTTAGAGTAATTGATGGGAACAAATATATGCAAGCATGGTCGTTTGTATATTTACTTGATGGTATTTAGATGTGATTTCAAGTTTGTTGTATTTTTTTTATTTTTTACTTTTAACAAGGTAGTTGTGCTTTAATTCTAGAAGAATGATAAACGATAATAGTAACATAGTAATACTAGAACATTCTAATCATCTCAAGGCATTTATAGTTTCTTAGATGTTTGTATTTTTGTTATTAAAGTTTACTATTCAAAAAGTAGCTTGTGCATTTTATATATAGAATCATGTCTTTCTTCTCTATTATTTTTTGGATTTTTTGATCTTTTTCTATTGATTGCTTATTTATATATATGTATGTATATATATATATATATATATATAGTCAAATTATCATGACTACCAAAAAAATTAATACAATATGGTTTTGTATTATATATATATATATATATATATATATATATATATATGAATGTTAAATAAACCTATGCTTTTACTAAATAGATCCACCATTGATGAAGAATATGGTAATTATAATGAATGTGATTGGTTTTTATTGGTTGCAGATCTAATAGTAGAGAAATGAATTTAGAAGTTTTTTTTTTTTTTTTTTTTCATGTTGGTTAGAATGGATGGATTGATTTAATAAAAACTTTGATTTATTTAATACTATCATAGACACATATTTATTTTAATTGTTACCTTACTGATATAAATAGGTAGAAATAGATAAAAATAGATTAATTTCATAATATCTTCTAGACAATCTTCCTAGAAGCTTCATAGATGTTGCTTTGACTTTACATGTGTTTATAATTGATTGGTAGGTTAGAAACTTGGTCAACAAGTTAACCACGTGCCACACATGTTGGTAGCTTGTGGAACAAGCTAACTATGTAGCGCCCATATAGAAAACTTGCCTTGCAAGTTAAGATATGTGTTGTACAAAGTCAACATGTTTTTGGAGGTCCTATAGAACCTTGCCATGTAGCTCCTATGTAGATAATATATATAGAGGCAAGAGTGAAGCCTTCTTCACTCTTGTCAATTCCTTTCTTACTTATAGTCTAGTTTCAAGAGTCTCTAGTTTTCTTGTCTTTTGGCAATAGCCATTCCAGTTTCTTTCTTAAAATACATATTTAGTTATTTCTATTTTGTTCTCTTTCTTTGAGAAAAGTCTCACTTGTTTATTTGTTTTTATCAAATTCTTATCCTTGACAAATACTTCTTTATGAGTATATATATATATATATATATATATATATATATATATATATTATTACCAAAATTATAGTGAATAATATACCAAGCTTTATAGATTTACTTTGTACATACAATACTTTGATATAAAATATAAACAAGATTATACTTCAATTAATGAAGCAAATTTGCTTATATATCTATTGCTAATAATAGATATACAATGGTTTTTATTATTTGATATAAAGACTAATTTTTATAAATAATACATTTATGACTAATATATTTATGAACAAAAAATTATATCTAATTTTATCACTGTGGACAAAATAGGAGTTGTGAACAACAAAAATTTTAAATTTTGCCCTTCTTATTTTAATTTTATTTGTAACAATTTGCACTTGAAAATATTATAATTTATTTTTTATTTTAAAAATAAATATTATATAATAATATTTTATTAGGATTTATCCAAAATATAAAATAAAATTATATTTTTATGTTAAATTTGATAATTGTTACTAATATTATATAAAAAATATCTTATATTTTGTCTAAGTTAATGTTTATATTAAAGTGGATATATTTATTATGTAATCAATTATCCTATAAGAGTTTTAATGAGGGACAAGAAGTGTCATGAATATATTGTACATAAGATCACACAAGAAGTTGAACAAAAGAATTTCAACAAAAAAACTAATAAGAACTCAATTAGACTAGATGAATACAAGATCAACATCAAGAGAGATGAGCTAAAGCTTTAAGAGATATTGTCAAAACTGAGGATCTCTTTAGCCTCGATTCCAATATAAATTGGGTATTAGGAAGCTTCTTAAGAAGTTTCTATATTGCTTGAAGATGAACCAACTTTAGGAGACTCTTCAAAAAGTTTCCGTATTGCTTAAAAATAAATCAATTTTAAGAAGCTTTTCAAGAAATTCTTATATTGCTTGAAAATGAAGCAACCATAAGAAGTTTCTTAGAGAACTTCTTTAAACTTCTTAGAACTTTCTAAAACCTATTAGAATATTTTAAAAATCTTTTAAAATATTTTAAATTTTTTTCTAAAATCTAATAAAATATTCTAAGAATATTCTTAACATCTTCTTACTGGATGTCCGTAACATCACCTCTCCTTCTAATTCCAAGTTCCATGAGGAGCATCAGCTTCATATCTACTTTCTTTAGTATATACAATATCCTAGCAATAATTTTATAGAAAAGTCATTCTAAAATAGGTTTAGGTTTTTGAAGATAGCATCAACAAAACTCTTGTATCTTTTGTGGCACATTAGCTACATTTTCTACTAGTTCTCACGTACATTCATAAATATTGTAACAATGCTAATGAATAAATTACTCAAACTTGCCTATTCTTTGTCACAAATTAATTATCTTTTCAACCTCATATTCTACATTATTATCTATTTCAATGCAAGGTAGTGATGGTTATATTCTTCCTAGAATAGTTGATTCTATATAATTCTCTGAAAGAGAAACACAAAAGATTAGATGTACCTTCATAAATGTGGATAGTTCCAACCAATATGTCATTGAATTGATTTGTTTTTGAGTACAAAATGGCCTCAACCATCATTAGTCTAACTTATCTCAAGGCTAATTAGTCTTGATATTTCATCAAAGAAGCCATATTTTATCTTTAATTTGAAAAGCAAGGAATTCTTTTCTAAATTCATTTAAAAATGCTTTATAAGAATCTTGAACTCCTTGTAAATGGAACTTCAAAGTTGTTTGGAGCTATAATAATTGTTTTGCAAGAACTTTAGCTATTAGATTTTCATCCTTTGATGTAGTTAACAAATTAAGCTTCAGGTGATAATCATAATTGGAGTAAAATAGTGTTTGCTAAGTCAAAGCATAAAGAGAATTATTATAAACAAATTTTGCTAAGGATAAATACAAGGTCCAATCATCTTACTAATAGTTGATGGTACATAGTAAATATTGCTCCAGAACTTGATTGACTCATTCTATTTGATCATTTGTTTGAAGATAGAAGGTAGAAAAAAAATTTAATATCCATCTTCAATATCTCCAAAAAGGATTTCCAAAACTTTAATATAAATTGAGATCCTTGATCAAAAATAACATCATCAGATAGGCCATGATGTCAATATGTATTATTGAAAAAGAGCCTATTATTTTTTTTCTAAAAATTACTTTTTTGTATAGAATAAAATGTGCCATCTTTATAAGTCGATCTACAACAATATAAATAGTATAAAATATAATTAATGGTGGTAAATCAATGATAAAATCTATTGATATTAAAGACCATGGTCACTTCAAGATTAATAGTGGTTGTAGAAGTCCATAAGGATGATGTCAAGAATTCTTAGAACTTGAATAGATGTTACACAAGAGAAAAAAATCTTTCATAATCTTCTACATTTGAAGCCACTAAATATCCTCCAGCTAAAAAATCATAATAAGATTGAAGATTACAAAGTTATGTCAATCTTTTTAGAATATATAAATTATCTTTAAAATAGAAAAGATCTTCTACAAACTTGAACTTATTATTGTCAAGGAATTGCTTGATATCACAAGCTAATAAATCCTTAATTGATGTTGCACAAATTTATTCAAGAAAATTTAAATCAAAATAATAGTATATTATTGATCAAATGTTGCTTCTCTAATTTTTGGAATAAGATATGATCTCCTTTATAAAACGTTCAATAGTCTTTGCTATTTTTTTTATTAATATATAATCATAAAATAAAAATAATATAATAATATATTCTAATGAGCTTTGTGGCAATTCAAAACTTGAGTCAATATGAAATACTTTAAATTTTTGTGATCTCCAAATAGAAGGCCTTTATAAAATCTAGATATAATAAAATTAAAGTTATAATAAAAATTATCTTCAAATCTTAAAAAATCCTTTGTATTTGAGGTTTCTATTCTAATTTATCTTTAAATATCAACTGAGTGACAGGAGGAGCAACTTAGGAATAATTCTTGATAAACATTAGATAGAAATTACCAAATTCAAGGAAATATTGTACATCCTATACCTAGATTGGTCTAAATGGTAGTTGAACCTCTTCTTGAAGATTGATAGGACAATCATATGGTTGATGCTTTAGCAATATGTCAACATTCTTCTTTTTGAAGACATCTTAAAATTCCTTATAGTGTTCTAAGGTAGCTACTAACAAACTTGCTTCTTCATAAGCTAGAATTGTATAAATAATAAATGACATTTCTTTCTTAGCCATCTTCATAAAAGTCATTACTTCTAAAAATAAAGACTTTGTTATTGATGACTTTTTAGTAGTTTTTGTTTGAAAGAATTCTATAGGAAATTTAATCTTATGATACTTCCAATATATAGATGGATTATATTTTTTAACCACAAAAGTCTTAGAATAATAAGATTGGATGGAATTTAAATAATATTGAATACTATTTTGTTACTATAGCCCTCAAATGATATTTCTAGTAATATGGTGTTATGAGTAATATTGCAAGGTCAACCATCTATTACTTCTACATATATAGGTTTTAACTTACTAGAGGAATTTTATGAAGTTTAAAAAAATCTTCATCTAAAAAGCAAGTAGATGCTCTTGAATTTAATAAATCATTTGTTTGAAGTTTTTATGGACTAAAAAATAAAGATATAATAAAACAACAATCTCATTAGATGGAGAAAGAATGACCTTTATGAATTTGAGGTGATCAAATGTCTAGTTTCATAATCCTTATTGTAATTGGATCTCTTTGTTTTTTTGAACAATTGCACTCTTAATCTTGATTGTATGTTGTTTTTTGGACAATTCTCATATTTATAACCTTCTTCACTATAATATAAGCATAGGCCTTATTAAAAATGATACTTCTTCTCTTTTGCTATAAGAGGTTTGGATTGTACTATATGAATATGCATATCTTCAATTTCAAAGTGTGGAAGTGATATATTTGTTGAAGTAGTAGAATACAAATTTTTAATATATTGCTTTATCAAAATCCAAAAGCATTGATCTTAACAACATTGAAATAATTGATTATTAAACTTCATAGCTTGGTTGATAGCCTTATTGAGTATTTGAAGATTAGGTAATGATAGTAATAGGTCTTTTACATCATCTTTTAGTCTCCAATAGAACTAGTTCATAAGAGCTTATTTATTCTAATTGATGTTATAAATCAATTGTCTAAAATTAGATGCATAAATTGATACAAAGAATGCCTCTTGATGTAATGAACAAAGCTTTATTGTTGCCCATCTGGTCTTATCTTCTTCTCCAAATGCCCCACAAATGTTTCTAAAAAAGCTTCAAAATTATTGAAGGTTGGAGATCTCTTCTCAAATAAAAGAGCAAATTAAGATAAAGCATGTTTTGTGAGTAAGGCTCCAACTTAACCAACTCACAACTCTTTTGTTGGATAGAATTCAAGTTGTAGAGAAGTTATTAATAAAATTTGATTAATAAACCTTTGAAACTTTAAGTTTGTATCATCAAATGTTTTTCAAAGAGTAATCCAAGGCTCCATACAATATTAAATAGGTAATTTTATTTTATTGAAGTATAATTGCTACCACCTCCTTAGATGTAGAAGCTTGAGACAGTAATTGCATTACAAGCTAATGTACTCTAGATCTTGCATCACCATGAAATCTTGTAAAGAATTCCTCAATTTCAATAGTTTTATAAGCTAAAACATTTAGTGCGTTCATAATAACATTTACTTTAGATTCAAGAGATTCAATCATATTAACATCTTTACTTCTAACTATTTTGAAAAAAAAAAAAAAAAAAAAAAAAAAAATTAAACAATATTAGTTTAGAGGAGGGTATTTTGCAAACTCTAAAGTGCTCAGATGCCTTCAAAAAGAGAGGTAATCCACTTTCTATCAAAAAGGATCAAATTCTAATATTGATCAGAGAGCAATCTTAACAAACTATTATGGATTCACTATACCTGAGACCAAATAAGATGTTGAACAAAAAAAAATCAATAAAAAAGCTAACAAAAACTTGATTAAACTAGATGAGTACAAGATCAATACCAAGAGAGGTGTGTTAGAGCTCCAAGAGATGTATTGTCAAGATTGAGGATCTTCTCAGCCTCAACTTCAATATATACTAGGTATTAAGAAGCTTCTCAAGAAGTTTCTATGTTTTTTTGAAGATGAAGCAACCTTAAAAAACTCCTCAAGAAGTTTTCATGTTGCTTGAAGATGAAGCAACCTTATAAAGCTTCTTAAGAAATTCCTATGTTACTTGAAGATGAAGCAATCTTAAGAAGCTTTTTAAACAACTTCTTTAATCTTCTTAGAGTATTTTAAAATCTATTAGAATATTTTAACAACATTCTAAAATCTTCTTAGAATCTTTTAAGAATCTTTTAAAATCTTTTAGAAACTAATAGAATATTTTAAAAATATTTTGAAAATATTCTTGTTGAATGTCCTTAACAAGGGGTGTCTTCTATGACATTTTAAAGTATATACAAACAATGTCCATAACAATGTCCATAACAATATATATATATATATATATATATATATATATAAAATGTCAATTGTATGGACAATTGTATGGACATTGTTTGGATTTTCTTTAAGGATTTTAACAACATAGTGTTTAACATGGTAGATCCATAAAATAGAATAAGTTATGTGTATATCCATTTTATATATATATATATATATTAAAAATAAAATATTATATGCATCTTAGACTATTCTAAAATATTATATTTTATAAAAAAATATTAAATTAAATAAAAAATTAATAATATTTTGTAGAATTTTTTGGACAATAGATGGAAATAATCTTTTATAAAATTTATCACATAATAAAGTAATATTAATTTAATATTAAAATTTGTAAACTTTTTTAATTTCAAAAAATTTGTTACAAAATCATAAAACTATGTAAACAAAGATTTGTCCAAGAACCATAATTATATTTAAAAGTCACTTGTTACAATGCTAATATTATTTAGAAAATAAAAATAAAAAGAAAATGCTTTACAAATAATTATTGAATAAAATTAAAAATAAATATGATTCTATTTTAATTGTTATATTGAACCTCAATCCTAACTATACCTGCTTTGCAAGTCTATGTTATTAATATCATACCATTAAGTATAAGGAATAGAAACCACCACTATCAAAAACGTCCTTGACGAATTTGGTTACATCTTTTCATTTGATTTCATCTTTTCAATAAACTTCACATCATGCCTTTAATTTGAAATATCATTTAATGTGCTATCAAACCTTTGCAGATAATACATTCTTCATGCAAAACGTCAAAGATGCAATTGGCGTATTTATTGATCCCTATTCTTTCAGAGAACGCCTGTAACTTAGATGTCAACGTTCATTCTTTTCAGCAAAAATATGGCTCTACAAAGTGTACACATTATGTTTAGTGGAAAATGATGCATTCACAGATTGCACGGTGGTAACAGACAACTGTGTTGCAATTAGTATCCATGCATGGCTGATTGGAAGCAGATATTGTGATTCACCTGTGGATAGTGTTCCATGTCTTTTTCACTTGAACACATTGTGTGGTTAGTTACAATGCCGGAAAGAGAAGAATCTGCCGTTTCAAGGTGGTCAATACATCGATTATGAGAGTTAGTGTTGGGACCACAAACCTCGCACACCCAGTATGAGTAGTACTAGCCGTTTAGGTACTTGTGTAGTAAAAGCTCTTGCAGCAGTCTTCATCAGGGTGCAGTTTTATGAATAAAAAAAACCGGTTCAGTTGTTTGAAAAATCATCTGAGTGGTTGATCCGTCTGGTGATCTTCTTTTCGAAGCAATGGTATATGATTATCCTTGATGTAGAAGGTCAACCCATCCTCATGAAGAAGCGAGCAGTTAGGGTTCCTCAAGCAACCCATCCTCAATCAAATCAGCACGAGAGCAAGGGCGGAGACTCATTCTTCGTTTGTCCCAAGCCATATCGCCACCAAAACCACATTCAGATGTTCTTTCAGCATTGGTAACGCTTCCTTAACTTGCGCTACCCACTCAGAGCTGAACAAACGGTTCCAAATACAAGTAGGGCACGGACTTTCCAAATGTGCAATGGCTGCCAAGAGCTTCGCACCTTCTCTTCCATCCAAGTCTGCCAAGCACAGCTCCCGCTCCATCACTGGATTCCTAAATGACGTTTGAGTGAAAGACCTCACTAGCAATCTACTCCGCTGTAAGCAGAAAAATCTAAATTGTTCAGCCAATTCACTTCTTGATCAATATCTGACAAAGAAGACCCAACTAAGATTATGTCTACACAGCTATCAACAGTTGAATCCTGTTCAAGTGTGGCATCAACTTTTGATTGTAAATCTCTGTAAGTCACCAAATTGACTTATGGTTTGTTTTAGGACCAAAATAATGCGAGAGTAGTATCAATTAGCAATTGTTAGTTGAAGATGAGTGTAGAAAATGCTAAATGAAAATGAAATAGAGTTAGTAGATTAATTCCAGTTATGTGTAGGAATTCTAGAAGACAAATCCAATTTTAGAAGGCATATGGGAGGGCATCCAATCGGCATATTTTCAGTACCTTTGGAGTATCTAGAAAGAATTTAGAATAGTCAAAATTCTAGTATAATCGGGTCCAATAACTATACAATGTATGATATATGGATTATGTAATGGACACCATATGGAGGCCAAACGTAATACGAGATCCTTCGAATACAAGATACCAGAGAATACAAGGATAGTAAATACGGGTAGAATATAATCAAAATATTGGTTGGATATAGTCTGTTTAAGGCTGGATAATACACATGGAACACAAATACTATACGGAATGTACAACATACAAAACACAATACGAGAGAAGACAGTATTTATATAGCAATATAGTATACAACAATGCAGTGTACATATACCCGGGCATCAACAGGGCATCAACCACGAACGAGCAAGTCATCTGGGTATCATGCATTGCAGGGCCTCCGCCGTCATCGCGGTTGCTGCGATAGGGGTCTACCCAGACTCGGCTAGACTTTTTTTTCTTTTCGATTTGTGTGTATTGTGGGAGCTCCACAGGAAGCGGAGTCTGCGGCTCTCTCTCTACTAGTTGTGTACAACAATGCTCCATTTTGGTATGAGTATTCTCTCACGTCAAGGGAGATCGTTGTTTTTTCTTTGTAGTAGTGCTGGAATACGTCGCAATTGCGGTATTCTAGTCCCTCCCTTCTTTTTATTTTTTTTTGATCGCTGCATGGCTACGGGGCTCCGGAGGCGGCAATAGCATCGCTCATACTTCATACACGGAGAGATCTGTGAAAGGTGGCGTGGTCGGAGTTATGTCGCTGTTGGAACAGAATGCTTGAGTCTTGTACAAGGAGGTGGCAAATGATGCCTAAAGGTCTGTGTTCGTAAAGCGGTGCGGCATTCTCGTCTTTGGTGGCTGCTCGCTGCAGATTTTTTTCGGAAGCTGGCGTTCGTTGAGCTGATGCAACGTCGACACTGAGGTGCGCTGTGGTGGATGATGAATTCTGCAAGTGGCGAGGGATCCAACGCCATGTTGGCTTGTCGAGTCTCGGATGCAACAGTACATCGCTCGATGCAAGCTGTGAAACCACTGTAGTGCTGTTGCATGAACGAATTCGTTGTGTCATTTTCATAGGTATGATTCGATACTCCAATGGTTGTATTGTTACTCTCCCCCTCTGTGCTTATGCAATCAGGAGCCCACATTGTATCATCTATTTGTTTGGAGCACATTGTGCATGCCCAGCGATCAAATTCAATCAACGGGTTGCATCATATTAGATTATAGGAAGTAGATTAGTTTTGGAATCCATATTAGCTCATAAAAACTGCCAAGAAAATCAGAGCGTCGATTCACCGGGATGCTTGAAATCGGAGCTGCTCAAGGTCGGTGGAGTTTGGATAAGAGTATCTTCATAGTGGAGCAGAGATTGGTGAAAATTCAGGAGGTTTGAAGAAGCGGTGCAGTGTAGGATGAGAACCGAGCTCCACCCTGGACAGAGCTTCAGGTGCCAGTGCCGACCATTCACCGAGAACTTCACCACGTGGATGAATTTTCATTCATAGATGAGAAGTTATTTGTAGGTAAAACTCACTCAAGGATGAGAATTTGCCTTGGATGAAAATTAATACTAGATAAAATAATAAAACCAAAAATTGTTTAAAATCTAAATAACTTCATATAAAAATTTCCTTTCAATTGTGTATAGGGTCTTTAATTGTTAAAGTGGCTTGTATTGTGGATTGAGGTTGTTTGAGTGTGAATTTGATTAATTAGAGAGGTTGATTAGGAAGAATTTTTAATTTATCATAGACACTTAATCAAATGCTAATAGGAACTTATTACAATATTTAGATAATTAAAATCATTGTAAACTAAGATAGACTCCTAGTGGGTGGTGGTTTATTTTAATTCACAATCTCTACCACAGAAAGCTACCATCGACAGCCATCAACCTAAGTCTAGTACCATCAAGGAAACAAAAGTCTCTGTGTATGACAAAATAGCACTTTCAAGACATATGAAGGTGATACAAATCTTCGATTTGAATGCATACCTTCCATGGTCGCGCCAAAGCGTCAACCGATTAAGCAAAGAAGTGACCAGCGCATTCAAAGAAATTCATATCTGTAGTACTTCAGCTTCTTGTAGACTATATCCTTTGCACCTTCGTTGTTCCCAGTATTTCTTCCAACGGATCCCAGAAGCCGATGAGGCGCCGGCCATGGCGTCGAGATTCTATAAAAGAAAAATTGTAACGGTGGTAATAATCTAGATGCAGTTTCTGAGCCATCCACCCTAAACTTTGAGCATTTCTTAAAGCAAGCCATTGCAACTGCCGCCTGCTTCACCGCCAGATTTCCTGGTCAAGCAAGCCTACTTAAGCCGCGGTTAACAGCACGAAACGGCGCATACAAAGCGCCGATTGTAACAGAATATAGGACCAACAATATGGGAAGCAACGGCCCGCAAATTTAGTCTCCAGAAAAAAAACAACTCATTCTTCGCCTTTGCAGGAACGAAAATAATCCAGAAGAATCCGGGGGAGATGGATCGGAACGATCTCAGCAAAAGAATTCGCTGGGGCCACTTCTTCAAGCAGAAAATAACCAATAGTATAAAGCAGATCATAAGAATGAGGTTCTCCTCAATACCGCTTCGATTCTGTGCATCTTTTCGTCGACTGCAAAGGATTAAACCTAATGATGTCTTCAGTGCATCGAACCAAATGAGATCGTATAAAGCTTCGTGAACAACAAACTATCCATTCTCTAAGCTCCAAAACAAGGAATATACATGCTTTTGCATCATGAATCACCTGTCATGAACCATATACTACATAATGAGTTGTGAACTCAAGGTCCGTGGTAGGGTATTTGACCCCTGCAAAACCTCAAGCACATCCACTCTCTGATTGGCGGCATCTTTCCCTATTTCCCTCCGAGATACGTTCCATAGTCGCTCCTCTATCCCAAGTGCTCTCAGCTCCATCAGACCACGTTCAACATCCACCTGATCACGTACTGAAGTCTGCAGCATACTTCGACTAATCCAAAGTTGGATGCAATCCTCGGCACGAGCAATCTCCAAGCCGTTCGTCTTTGCACGTCGCCAGAAATACACCAACCATGCCTGCTTAAACTGCACATCCTCCACCTCCTGCGGGCTCAGATCAAAAGGACCTGGGGTTCTTGGAGCATCCGAACCGTACCGATGTCGTGCTAATGCTAGCATCACTGCGTCCTCTACCTTCAAAGCTGCCAGCTCCCTCAACCCCTTCTCCACAGCCAACATGCTCTCGATGTTGCCCTCCCCAGTAATGTCGTTCACGTCACGCGTCTTCCCTTTGATCGAATTCGACGCAGTGCTGTTTTGGACCAGACTACTCGGCTCTTCCCTTGCACGTTGGCCTGCAGAGAGCACCATCTCCAGTGACACTGGTGCCAATGATGACCAGAAGTCTGCCTTGCCAGATGAAACTTCTGGGTGTATCCCGTGTTTCGCAGCCAACACCCAGTACCGTGCCAACCAACACCGCTTTAGGACCACCTCCTCCATCTCTTCTTTTGTTAGAACCATGCGATGTGTCATCATCCGCAAAGCTTTCACTTCGTTCTCCACCTCCCGAGCAGCTGCAGAGGCTGCAACTGCCTCCTCTTTTGCGGCCTCAGCCTCCAGTTTCAAGGTCGCAATTTCATCATCCTTCGCATCTCTGCTTTGCTCCTGAGTTACTTTCAGAGCCGCTTCCCGTTGTTTGAGAAATTGCTCCTTCCTGAAACGGAGACGAGAGTCTAATGAATCTACAGACTCTAACGAATGTTCCCCAACTGCGGTAATCTGCTTCTCTAACTCTCGTGTCCTGAATTCTTTTTCAGCAAGTTTTTCCTCCGCCAAACGCAGCTTGTCGAAGAGGGTCTCGTTGTCTTCCTGGAGCATATCAATTTCGTCCAGTAAAGCTGCCGAATCTCTTCTGCTATCATGCCCAACGGTTTCATGCGAACCCCTAACTGATGTCGTGTCAGGGGGGGCATACTTGCGGAATGGATCTACAGATACACCTAGAGGAGCTGAATCTGCAGGTCGTAAAGCAGCGGGCACTGCAGGTTTTGGACGCTGCAAAATTGGTTGAGGACCAACCGAAGCGGTACTAGACCTGGAAAAACTCCGTGGATTGACAGTTGACTGCAATACACTCCTATCCGAAATTGTACGAGGAGTATCATTCAATCTTGTGGGTCTTAAAGGCTGCTCTCTTCTTGAGTCCCCGACTACACCCGATAGATATGAGGAGCCGAAATAAGGCATATCATCCTCGTCTTCTTCATCTGAGCTAAGGTCACGATTGGCTTGCATAACCTGGGCCAAACGCGCAGCTGCAGCTCTAGCAGCATAATTCTGGCCCCTTCTCAACGAGTTGAAAGAAGAACCTGAAGAAGACGAATTGGATCGTGAGTGTAGCAAAACCGACCCCGAAGCCGCACTCCTCTGCCTGCCAAGTGCAGGACTTCCAGTTCTTTCTGTTTCAGCCATTTCTGATCACAAAAAACCCAACCTGCATGTGTTGTGCTTCTCTAGTTCGGTTTTGAAGGAGTAACCTCTGAGGAATCACATATCAATGGAAAAGGCTCGTGCTTCTCTAGCTTGACAACCTCTAAATCCTTCGGATGTTGTCTTTGAACATTGTCTTCAGAATCACTGCAGTGAATGTACGTATTAAAAATGTAAATAAAACCGCAAAAATGGACCTACGTCACGTCGAATCATGCCGGGCACATCAACCCCTGCGTGTACACAACATTCATACTTTTTCTTCAAAAGCTACCTTCAGGGTCTGCATGCACAACCAGACGCCACACCAAACTACTCAACTCAACACATCGAGAAAAATTCTCAACATAACTATAAAGACTCTCGAACCTCTTTGAATCAAGAAAGAGGTGAACTAGATTAGAGAGGGTTTTCCAATACAAAAGATAGCTAGAAGTATGCGTTTGTATATCTCCACTGCCGCTCGTGGATCCAAATTGTGAACACAATCAAGATTTCTGGACATCAACTTAGGTTGTGTTACTCAGATATCGAGTGAACACACATCTCAAAGCGATGCAATTCAATGTCCTATTCAAAAGGATTGTGTGCGGAAAAGGATTGCGACAAAACTGCTAACGGGTTACTGACAAGACCCTGCTAACAGAAACAGCGCCAATGCAATATTTCAAAGAACTGACGTCTTGTTAAAAGCGATCTATAATGAGCTGGATTTCTTCTAACTGAGCATTTGGAACCTTCACAATTGGCCAGGCTGAAGTCAACATTCTCTCTTACACACTCTCCAAAGTGTACTTCCGCCTGCGCCCAAACTACCATTACTTATTAAAGAAATTGCGAGAGATCTACTCGTGGAGGAATTTAGTTCATGCTGTGCTAATTTGAATCAGTGCAAGTCGATTTGCATGCATCTAAAGTGCATATCCAGTGAAACAAACACCCGAAACCCTGACTAAAATAATGCGTTCCTATCGTAGCCATTGAACCTCAGAGCGACATCCATAGAGGCGATGACAGAAGCTCTAATATTCTTGAACTTTTCCTCGTCCTGGAAACCTGGCTAGTTGGTGAACATATCCAAATACAATAGTCGATGAAAAATTAACTAGGTTTCGATTATGGAAAGTGTCATTATTCTATGCTGGTTAGCCTCTATTTTCACAGAACCGGGTATTCATTTATCATTATGGCTAATGTTATCATTATTATTCTTACTGATCCATTTCGGAGAGATTGCTAATTGAGTTTCAGTTTCAAGTTGAAGTACAGTTATGTCGATATTCTGACATGAGGGCTATGATTCACTGGAACTTAGCTACACGAGACTAGGCTTCTTGTTTTCCCGACATACTTTACAAAAAAGTAAATATTGCTTCTTATTATAATTGACAATGTCCCATTCACAAAAATAGTGTTGATGACCATGTTATTCGAAAAGGTTAACATGAAAGAGTATTCCAAGACTGCATTCCCAGCTAGGTCCCTTAACATGTGAACAGCTTCAAGATTCCTGATCCAGCTCTAACTATGGTTTAACCATATCTTAAATCGATTTATTAATGCTGGGTCTCCAAAGCGCATACTTCAGTCGTCTCATGAAAAGCTCCACTAAATAGAGCACCAGCTACTCTGCTCGGCAAAACTCACATGTAGAAATCTGCTAGAGTAATTCAAAAACGATCCCGCCATCTAGTTAGTGCAAAGAGCCTACAGACTACAAGTGAACAAAGCATTTATTCCTGTCACGTTACTTCGGCACAAAGTGCCTTTAGACATGGAATAGATTCTCGAACTTAGGTCGATGGAATAGGAATCAACTGCCAAATGCGTAGTGGAGTTTCTCCCTTTAATTGGCAACTCAACTCATATGAATGAAACCTTAACTCTACTTTTTCAACCAATGGGAATCCCTACTTCTTGCTCCTCACACTACGTTCTAAGCTAACAGGATTCATGGCTGCAAACATGCAAGAACTACAAAACCTGTGCTAATCTATTCTAACTGAATACTATCCATGACAGCATGCGACAGCGACACAAGTGCACATCTCCAAAAACCTTCAAAAGAAGCTACATCATCATCATCATCATCAGAGTCCCCATCGATTGAAGCAAATCAAAACTCTGGAAAATTCCACCACAAATCTGCCACTAACGCCTTCCTTACACAAGATACAACCAAAACATCAACGAGGAAAAAAAATCAAACCAAAACAAAGGAGACGAGGAGAAAATTCAATGCGTACCATGCTCTCCGTGTACAATCTACGAAAGAAGAAAAACAACCGGAGGATGAAGAGAAAGCAATCATCGGCGACCAAAACCCGGCAGCGGGAAAGAAAAACCGAATAAACCGACACAAGACGCACCGCGCAGACAGAGAAGCGAGTGCGATGAGCGCCAAGCGATGAGAGAAAGGGGTCCTTGCGAGTCGCGGGGCGAGCAAAGAGGCGGGATACAGACTCGCATCCCACGTCTTGGAATCCTCACAGGAAAGTCTTCCCGTTCGCGGCAACTCTCCCCACCCGCGCTGGCTGCAGCGCGACACAGCCCCGAATTGAGCCCCCTCTTCAATGTCCGTGTGAACGTAACCCCCCGATTTTTCTATATTAGGCTACTACGAAGATCAGTCATTGGATGGCTCTATTTTGGGAAAAGATAGACCTATGACCGCGGGGCTTAGTGGCCACCTTTGGGAGATTTCTCGGGAATATTAATTTCAGGGTCGCTCTAGTTTGGGAGCCTATGGCCATTGCATAGTCGACTAGGATTATCTCCTCCATTGCGCACAAAGTTCCAGAGTGGCGTGTTCTCCCATGACAATTAGCTACCACTTTGCACATGCACCAATACCCTCGTGTAGTGTTACAAATTCTTGAAGAAATATTACTTCAAAGTATCAATGATGGATACTTTTTTAAGGGAGAGATATTTCTAGAAGCTGGAGAACAGGAAAAATAAAAAATAAAAACTACATGAACGTAATTTAATGAGCGGATAGATTTTGATAGGAATTCACTTGCAAAAGAATTGGTTTTGAATAACATCTAAATAGTATTTGAAGGTGAAATTAATTACTCATGTTCAATTTTTTGCAATTTTTTGAATTTTGAATTTTTGATTTTTTTATTTTGATTTTTTTGTGATGAAGAATAAAATTTTAAAAATCATGAATCTTTTATTTCATTCTTTATATTTTGTTGTAATGTCTTTCTTTGTCTTCATCAATCCTATTGAAAATTATTGACATAGGCTTAAATAATTTTTTTAAAACACAAAAAAATATTTGAAAATTAAGTTTTTGTTAATAGAAACTAAAATTTAAAAATAAAAATATGTTATTTATAATGATAAAAAATGACAAAAAAAATTGACAAAACATGCATCAGAAGTAATTAATATGACACAAAAGCTACAGATTTGTTCTTTGACAGAATAATAATAGTTTAAATTATACTTTGTACATGTGTCCAGAGACAGAAGTATCCTAATTAAAAAGAACCAAATGAAAGTTTAAACTTCTTGTTGAGATTTTAGAAACCTCAAAATATTTTTCAAATTACATGAATTTGATGGTTATTTGAAGAATCTGCAAGGAAATATTGGTATCTTTTTGTCTATAAATTATTTTTTAAGAGATTATATATATAGATATATATACATATATATATATATATATATATATATATATATATATATTCACACACACACACACACATATATATATATATATATATATATATATTCACAAAAATTTGTATACATATATTTATAAGTAAATTTAAGTGTGTGTCTCACATGTTTACAATAGTTTAGTTATCTAAAACTTAATATTTCTTTATTCTCCTATTAAAATCATTACAAATCATTATAAATCATAGTGTGTGGTCATAACTCAATTCACAACAAGATGTGAAACCATATTTATAATAAAAAAATAAAAAAATTAGTGTTCGAATTGGTTCAGGAGATTCTTGTATGAACCAGAAAGAAAGCATACTAACACACAATCAAACTATTACAAAACTTGACACACTTCCAGTAACAAATTTTAGTATTAAACTCACAAGCATCTTAGTTTCTCAGCAAACAACTAGACAGACAAGTAGAACGTAAAAAATGGATGAAATGCGTCAACGCGAATATCGTTCATCCACAAGTGGGTCAGAATCCAGAGCCCATCCCTTCCACAGCGACGAATCGCGCGAGCGGCATGAATTGTCTAAATTTCTGCATGCGACGTTTTGAGTGATCAGGACACGCAGCACGGCGCACAATCTTCTTTTAAGTCTACAATGCTGTTCTAAAGAATCGCAGCTTTTCGCGTCACTCCTTGAGCATGAGTAGCCGCAACCACATCTGCGTGGGAAAGTGCCTCCTCTGTGGAGTACCAGCTATGAAGTTGTGTTCAGTCGATCCCTGCCCACTATAACCGCGGAGTTAACGAATTCTCGTGCAGCCTTGACCGCCGGACCAGTGAAGGTGAGATGCGAGTGTGTGGCTTCGTGCGCGTTAATCCGTCCAGATGGTGCCTGGCCTTCACCGTTAGTCAAATATCTTCCTGTCTGGTCTGAAGATTATGATACAGGTTGTGTGTGATGGAAGGGTTCTGTTAGATTGAGAATGATTGATAGAGATGAAAGGCGACCCCTGATGATTTGTCCTTGTTCACGGTGCCTTGTCCATGGAGATCAAATGTACCCTAAATCATCTGATTCAATTGAGCGGAATGAATCGTTTCATACCAGTTCTCTCCAGTTGCACCCCTAATGATGCACTCAGTAGGAAGTACCAGATTTCTCTCTCTCTCTCTCGCTCTATTTATCGCTATGGTCCCTGCCCCAATTCCAAACAGGGAATCTGAACCAACTAGGCAACAGACCTGATCTCGCTACTCAGTTGCTTATTATCAACCACTGCCTTCAAGAATGAGGAGTTTGTTTCTCAAATCAGAGCCGACCGTCGATCGCAAATTGAGAACAACTTCGTAGATCTTAGAGCTGACCCAGTTGTGAATTTCGCTTTGGCGGTGTTGATGTTGACTCTGCACTCGAGTCCAGCGTTGCCTGTGACAATCGTGAAGTATTAGAAGGAGTGTCTAGCCACATATTGGAAGTAAAACTTGGCAAGTATGACTATGCCAAAGATGAGTACCTATAGTTGTGAACCTGTAAAGAACCACTAAGAGTTATTCACATTTTGAGTTACTGACATTAAACTCCAATTGATGATTCAGTATACCTAGTTCCGTAACATGTAAATTCGAGACATGTATGTGCAAATAAGTAAGTCCCTCATGGAACAAGTTGCAGGAAATATTTTGATGAAGTGTGTCAGAACGATTTGAACTTTGATACGGGTTCCAACACATGATACATTAATAATAGCACTGCCGCATTGTTTGTAAGAGGAATTTCTGCTAATTTCAACTGCTTGATTCGAGAAGCAATATTGATTATGTAAAGTTGCACTGATTATACTGCTTAAATCTAGTTAGAATGACGGATTACCTGACCCAGATCGGAGATCCTCGTCTGGTGGTCCCATTCAAAAATATACCATCGACTGCGGAACAACCTGACACTCAAACATGCTTTCGAAGTAGATTTTCTCAAGCTCGAATCCTTGTCGATCGATATACAGAATTCACTGCCATGCCAACTGTTCAAGATTCTTAGAATGTCATGGTTCCAATCTGAAAAAATGACAAAGTCTCTCAAATTTGCTGAAATTCCCCTCCAGCAAATTAAGTTCAAGTTGGAATTTGGGAATGTTGCTAAAAAAGCATCCGTTCTCAAACAGCTATGTAAAGCTCTAAATTTGAAACTCAAGGAGTGTGGCGAGGCGATTCACATCTTTATGAAGTGAAGGTCTCCAATGAAATCCATGATCATACTTCGCCAAAGAGTTCATCAGAGTACCCACAATGGTGCTGAATGTCGGCGCAGCGCACTGCGGTCCTCAAATTCTGGAGAACAAACTAAAAAGTAATGAACACTCTTTATTTGAAGTCACCAAGTCTAGTTTTAAGAACGAACATATTTCCTTCCCAGACAGCAAAAACTTCTTTCGAAGTAAAATCTCAAGCGGGCAGCAGAAGAAGCGCTAGTCATTAACAGTACGTAGAGTATGTACCACACTTCAAAACCCTTCTCTTAATTTTTATGCACAAATAAAGCACATCATGTCCTTCATTATCGAGAAGTACACAGGATAGGCAATCAATTATTCACTTGGAAACCCAACAAACTGTATATTAATGCGAAACAAGGAGAGGATGAAAGAGTGTCACTTTTCTCAGTCACTTCTGATAAGAACAGCAAAACGTGACTCTCTTCACTCCTCACAATCCTGAAGCACACACCGTGGCTTATATCGTCAGACTGCGGTTCCTTCCAGTTACATATCTGTGGTTGAAATCTTGGAATCCCAGGTTTGCCTCTTTACCTGCAAAACTTGATCTAAGACTAGGCCAGGTTCGCTCTGACTTAAACTTCAGTAAGTAGGTCGGATAAATTAGTGACCTTACAAGTGGTATTACTACAAATAAAAAAAGTCTTACAAAACACTTGTAATACAATTCAATAATGTAAAAAGTCTTACAATACAATTCTTTTACAAGTAGAATTATTTCTATTTTTCTCTTTTCTTTTTTCTTTTCTTGTAGTAACAATACACCTTTGGATTATATTGGTTAATAAATTTTAAACTTCTATAATACAAAAAATAATTTTCTTATCAATCATAGAACTATTTTAATTTGTTTGTAAGAAGCTTAACTCGTAGAGCATTAATTTCCATGTCTTTCACTTTTATTTTATAAATTTTGAAATTACAGTTGTTAGTACAAAAAAAATTGATAAGATAATGTATAAGTGAATTTTTTATAAACAAAATGCAAAAAGTTGATGACCAAATTTAATAACAAAGTCATTGTATTTGTTTAATAATAGAGGATTGAATAACTTTAATAAAAGTAATATTGTGTTATTTTATAATTTATAAATAGACTATCTAATAAGTGAAAAAACTTCTATTTTGACATTAGTAACTTCTTTTAAAACTGTAAATTATAAACATTTAAATTACACAAATGTTTTCAAAAGTTTACATACTATTGCTAGAAAAACAAGTAACATCACTTCTTTTACAAATGAATCAAATTGTTCTAAAACAAAATCAGAGTTCCTCAAAATTGGTTGCTATAAATTCAAAAATAATAGAAATATAAATGATAAATTTGGTATTTTATGTAATATTTTGATAAATTTGTATTGAAAAGCTAGAATTGGATAATTTGTGATTGGAAATTAATGACAACTTATGCTCAATCAATCTATTCACAACAAACTTAAATGCATTACTATCTAACATTATATAAAAAAATATTAGTTATTTGATGGATGTCATTATATTTCTATATTTATTTTCATTATATAAAAAAGACTTAAAATAGTACAATAATTAAGAAAATACTAGCTATTTATGTATCATTTTAAGTATTCAATTAAGATATTGGTTGTAGTAGCATTCAAAATTGGTTTATTGCAAGCATTGCTTCACTCTTTATTTCAATAGATTTTTTTATAGATAAAAAGAACTATAAAATACTAAAAAGTATTGGCAAGAAAAAACTAGTATATATATATATATATAATATTAGTTAAAAAAATAGTATAAAAAATCTTTAGTTCTTTCATATTTTTACAAATATATAAGGTAATTTATTATATATTATTATAATTTAAGTTTTGACATTACAATTTTTAGCCCTATCTAACTATCAAGGATACTTTTCTATATATATTTCCTAAAAGGTAACATAATGACATATAACTAAGAAAGAGAAAAGAAGATAAAATTTACTTATATATATAAGTATATGCTTATAAATGGATACATAAATACAAAAATATATGTATATAGTAACAAGATAACAAAGTAGAAATTGATAAGGTGAAAAAAAAAAATAGTAAAAAAAGAATACATCATATCAAAAAAATATACGATTTATTGCAAAAAATAGTTATATGATATGTAATTTGTTTAAGTATGAAATTAATAATATAACATATAGTTTTTAAAGTACATTCAGTTTAAATAACAAAGATAAAAAAGTAATATTGGTATACTATTTAAAGTTCATGTTTTATAAAATTAAATAAAAATTATTTAAATTTATATGTTTTATATAAAAAAAATCTTTATATGACTCAATATTAATATAAAATATATTTATAAAAATCATTTTAAGTTGTTAAATTTTAAATTTTTAAATTTTATACAGATATAAGGAAGAATAAAGAAATTGAATAAAGAAATTTATTTTTAAATGTACTAAGTTCAAAAATAATTGAAGAAAATAATTTAAAACATATTAGTTTAGGTGTGATATTAATAATGATATATAAAGTTGGAAAAAAATTTATAAAATATGTTGCAAGAGATAGAACTAAAAGTTTAACAACACTTTATTTTAAAAAATCGATTAATCTAAAAATAAGAAAATAAATTAAGTTATATTTTTTCTTCCTTAAAAATAATATATTTATAGTTTAATTTTTATAGTATTTTAATCTTAAATTTTGAATGTATCATAGTAGAAATACAATAAGATGTGTATTATTTATAAGATTTATTAACTTTTAAATCTCCAAAAAATAAATTTATTTTTTGATCTACAAATTATAATTATTAACTGAAATATTATACCTTAAATATTGAAAAATATATTACCACATAGAAAAATATAATTAAATGTAATCAAATTTTCTAATTAAAAGGATTTTATCTTTAAATATAATTTTTAACTATCAAATCACAATTATTACATTAGTAACATAAATCAAATCTACAAATGGTTGTAAGATCTTTGTATTTGATACTATTGTTGGTTTGAAAGCTAATAAATAATTTAAAAATAATAGGTTAGTCAAAAAAATTAAAAATTATTATTATAGATATTATTTCTTTTTTAATTAAATTTTGATTCATTCATTATAAAACTTGTTATTGGATGCCACGGACATACATAAGTATTCTAGTAAATATCTTTATGATTACGTAGGAATAAGTAAAAGTAAATAAAAGTAGGTTAATTTTATAAGACCTTCTAGATAAGCTTCCTAGAAGCTTCATAGACATTGCTTTGACTTTATATATGTTTGTAGTTGATTGGTAGATTAGAAACTTGGTCAACAAATTAACCATGTGTTGATAGCTTGCAAAACAAACTAACTATGTGGCGCACATATAGAAAACTTGTCTTGCAAGTTAAGATACATGTCTTGCAAATTCAACACGTTTTGGAGGTCCTATAGGACATCACCACATAGCTCTTAGTTAAGTGTATATATGGAAGCAAGAGTGAAGCTTTCTTCACTCTTATCAACGCCTTTCTAGTCCTTAGTTTTGTTCAAAGACTTTCTAGTTTTCTTGTTTTTAACAATAGCCATTCTAGTTCAATATTATATCATCTTTGAGTGACTTTCTAGTTCCTTTCAGTGATACATGAGTGTATTAAGGATTTTTTTTCCTCAAGATTTATGTCCTTGAGACTAGAAAAAAAAAAATACATCTTTAATATAGATATTTTTTATTGTTATATACTATTTTTATACACAATATATTACTAAAATAGTTTTTGATTTGTGATTTTTTTTTAGTTTGAATATAATAATATTTATTATTTTTTCAAAAAAACAAATTTTAAATCTCAAAAAAATAACATAAATAGAGATAAAATTAATATGAATCACATTATTTTTAAGTATTTTATTTTATTTTAACTTGCAAATTGTTTAGCATTGTAGCATGAACACTTGGAAATTTTGCTATCTTGTAACATACTAAGTATTTATAAGAATTTGTAGATTAATTTATAGTTTAAACAAAAATATTTGTTATTACAAATTATTAATATAGATTAGAAATTGATAAAATATAAAAATTTCAAATATCATATTTTAAAAAGCTAATAAAATGTTATTTGAAAATGTACAAGTTAGAACAAAAATACAAAATATTATTTTAGATAGCAAAGAATGTCATCATATCAAAAATATGGTCAAAGGAATGTGCATTTTAAATTAGCAACTAATAAAATTAAATGCAAGAATAATAGTTTGCATGTATTCTACATCCAAAATCTTAAATTATTAAATTACTTCTAGACCTAAAACTCACATGTTATAATTATCGTGTAACATTTTAAGAGAAATAATTTTAAAATAGTGAAATCACAAAATTGAATTTTTATTATATTTCTAAAGAATCACTTACTTATTATTTTTATTGTCATTAATATTATATATTTCAATTATTTATTCATAGAACCACATATTTTTATTTTATTCATGTCACTTTCTTGAATAATTTTTTCATAATAGTACTCAAATTATGCTTCTATATTTTTGGTAAAATCAGCATTTGATCATAAGTACCATTTTAATCCACTTATACACCTTCAAAGTAACAACCTATCATCCTTAATCACACATCAAAAAAGCAATTCAAACACATTAATACTTGATCAATGAATAATCTCCAAAAGTAAACTATTTCTATATATATATATATATATTAGCATATATAATTATTTGATTTGAATGATACCTTGGCATAGGATGCAATGTTGAGAGAGAGAGAAAGGGTGTGTGACGTTGTCGGTGAGTTCTCCGCATCAAAAGAGGGTTTTATGAAGGATGGCAGGTGTGGAGAGCTGCCTTGCATTATAAGCCACCAGGCTGCAGGTTTGGGCGGTGATAAATTCATAGAGGAGCAGTTTGCAACAGTAGAAAAAAAAAAAAACAAAACAAAACAAAACAAAAACAAAAACAAAACAAAAAACAAACAAACCACCAACAATTAATCAATCCATCCACTTAACAGCTTGAAGAACACATCTGACTCTTAACACATTGCTACGCATTTGTTGCAGGGCAAGCGTCAGAAGCATGCCATCAATCCTCCACTTCCAGCACCAAGAGAAAGCATGGATCGTAAGGTCCAATCCCAACAGTGTCTCTGTTCTTGGAGCTTAAGTTTTTATTTTATTTTATTTAATAAAGTACATATAAAAACGGAGATTGCCTTGTGAAGGTTCAAACTTTGTGGGAAGTTTCGGAGAAAAACATGAAGTTTCGAACATGGGTATACGGCTAGTGCCATCGAGAGGTGACCTAATATCTTTTATTCCATGGAATAATTCTTCCTCCATGAAATCATAGTTATAATGGACTGCCGACTTGTCCGGCAACATTTCCTTTTTTTCTCAAAGAGCTTCGCATACTTTGGCTTGATTGGTAGACTTGTGTCTTGTTGTTCAAACTAGGTAGAATTAGTCATCACCGGATCTGTGCTTCAAAATTCGTTTCTGGGTTCATATGTCCTCGTGCTCCGGGTTCGTGCGCGTGCTTTGATGCAGCAGCGATCGCCTTCACATCATCTGTGAGCACTTTAGCTCGTTTCTGATGGTTAGTGGATACCCAAGTGGAAGTCGCTTGGCTTTGAGTTTGTGTTTGTCAGTTTGCAAGTTTTTTTTTTTTGTTGCGTTGGTGTCGAAATTGTTCCCATTCTTTGTCTCCTCGTCGTGTTGCATTCCAATTTTGCATCGGTTCTGTCATTGGATCGTTCTTACAGGGATCGATTGTTCTGTAATTGCTCTCTCTAGTCTTGAGGTGCCGATTGCTAGGTATTCATTCTTGTCTTATTCCTCTTTTGTCTTGCGTGTTTGAATAGGTTTGAAGGTCTCTTGGCTTTTTGATGCAACATACTTCAGCGATCAATTGTAGGACTTCTAATTACCCACATTTGAGTTCTCTTTCGTTTTGTTTGTGAAATTTCGTGTTGTTCGGGTGTGCCAATCCTTGAACTCTGAAACTTCTCGGCAGGCCGAAGCAGGAGCTGAATTTGGGGTTTGTGAAAAGATGAGATTTGTCGATCATCAGGTTATCGAGGATTATTTATCGGCAGGCTTGTGTATGAAACTTGGTTTTCTGTAATAATTCATCTCCAGGGAGCTCATCTGTCACCAAAATTACTTCCGATGAGCCTGGTTGCGCACTGATGATGACCATGGCTGGTCAATTATCATGACATCTTGTGGTTCACTCGCAAGACGTTAGGATTTTGCGGTCCTAATAGTGTGCTACGGATGCAGTACTTCCAAATTCATCCCAGACCCAAGAAGAATCGGCAATGGAAGGGGGTGAGAATTCGTTACTGGTGGAGTTTTTCGAACCTGCGCAGTATTGGACCGAGGCCCTGCCCCTTGGATGCGGCCGCTTAGGGGCTATGGTACACGGCGGTGTGAAATCCGAACTCGTGCAGCTCAATGGTAAGTAGGCTGCTACTTTCAGTTCATTCCCAGAGTCGATGCTGCACATTTTTTGTCTGCAGACCATGCTACAATTCAGTGTGTGAGATGCATTCAGGGCTCGGCGGAAGTTCCGTATTATGTTTGTCTGTGGTGTTGCCACTGGAGGCTAAGAGCGCTTCTATCATGCAGAGGATACTCTGTGGTCTGGAGGACCAACCGATTGGAACAACCCTAAAGCTCTGGAGACTCTCCCACGAGTGCGGGAGCTTGTAAAGGAAGGAAAGTATGCAGAGGCCACCACAGAGGCACAGAAGATGCTTGGACCTGATCCAGAGGTGCATTTTATTGATTGCCTTGATTTAATTCAAAATTTCAATGTACACAACTTAAGCATTGAATCGCATCTTTCAGCTCCCTTGTTTGTTTGTTTGTTTTTGTTTTTGTTTGTTTGTTCGTTTGTTTTTTTGTTTTAGTTTTTGTCTGTTTTTTTCATTTATTAACTTCAAACCAATTTCTCAGGTCTATCAACCATTGGGAGATTTGAAGCTCGAATTTGATGACTCACATAACACCTATGACAAAGAGAGCTATCGCCGTCAGCTGGATCTTGACACAGCCATGACTTATGTGAATTACGAGATTGGTGATGTGTCGTACCTTCGTCAAGCATTCACTTCTTATCCTCATCAGGTTACCAGATATGATTACTATCTCTTTCACTTTGCGTCGTTCATATTCAGTTTTCTGTAGCCTTAGTTGCCTTCCTGTGTTGTTCTGGTTTGTTGGGCATTTGATCGTCCTTCTCAATGTAATTTCCATAGCCAAATGGAACTTTTGAATTGAAGCATTTCAGGTCTTCGCCATGCGGATAGCTGGAAGCAAGAGTGGCTCAGTTTCGTTTTCTGTGACTCTCGACAGCCAGCTCATGCTAGGCAAAGAAGTTGTTGGCTCGAAGTATATAGCTTTGAAGGGACAATGTCCGATTGATAGTAACAAGGTTACGGAAGTTGCAAGTCCCACTAGGTCGAGTAAAAAGCAAGGAATGGAATTTGTAGCGGTACTTCAAGTAGAGGTTAGCGGAGAAGCCGGGAGGCTACAAGTCGTTGATAAGCAGACACTGAAAGTGCATCAAGCAGACTGGGCGGTTCTCTACTTGACGGCCTCTTCCTCTTTCGATGGACCTTTCAAAGATCCGAGCATTTCAGGCATAGAGCCTACCTCACTGGCATTCGCGGCCTTGGCGAACTTAGTGGATCTTTCATTTGACGACATTCTTGCTGCTCACTTGGCTGATTATCAGACTCTTTTTCATAGAGTTTCCCTGCGTCTGAGGAATCACAGATGCATTGATGGCAACCCCGATTCGAGTGTCTTTGAAGATGTTGATAACGAAGAAAAAGACTTGGGCTTGTGGGAGCTCATTGTTCCCTCAGAAATTGTGGAAAGCAAGACGGTGGAGAGTGGCGCTCAGGTTTCAACAGGAGTGGATGGAGAAGTATACCCACAAAATGCGTGGAAGGAGCGAATTTCAACTAGAGACAGGATCTTGAACTTTGATGGGGATGAAGATCCAGATCTAGTGGTCCTCCTGTTCCAGTTTGGGCGTTACTTGCTCATTGCATCATCTCGACCAAACAGTTTCGTGTCAAACTTGCAAGGAGTATGGAGTAACTCATTACATCCAGCTTGGAGGTGACGTTGTGTACTGAATTGTTGTATCCTGCATTTCGATGTCTATCTGTTTATTCGGAACGTTTGTCACTAAGCAAGTATCTGTGGGTTAGCTCTCCTTCGAAGACCCTGTCGGCAATAATGGTTCTTTCATATACTTAAGCAGTCTTTATGTTTGACATGCATTTGTTTCGGAGCTTCATCTAGTTGATTAAGGTCTGCGCCTAAAATGAATAAAGCACTGGAACTGCTCGAGATTCCCTTCTGAAAAGCATTTCAGCTAGCCTCGTGTCTTGTGACCCCCTACTGAATCCAGCCCTTTTGCAGATGTTGTCCGACTCTCAACATAAACCTGGAAATGAATTACTGGCCTGCTGAAACATGCAGCCTAGCTGAGTGTCATTTACCTCTTTTTGACTTCCTTGAGCAGATTGCTGTCACGGGTGCTACCACTGCCAAGGTAAGTCTTGTAAAACTCACTTGAGCATCATCTGTGGTCTTGTACAGTTCGCCGTTCATGAACATGCTCCCAGAAAAAATTTGAGGAATCTCATATGCAGATTTTCTGTAGGTGAATTATGGTCTAGGAGGGTGGGTGAGCCATCACAATGCGGATATCTGGGCGCACTCAGCTCCTGTAAGTGGAGATCCAGTGTGGGCATTATGGCCTATGAGTGGAGCTTGGATTTGCCTTCATCTTTGGGAGCACTACACTTTCTCTCAAGACGAGGTAAGTTGAAAATTAACATCTTCATGTATATGTATTGCACTGGCATGCTGTTCTTCGTAACTCCCTCACTCTCGCGGTAGTGTGGTTTTGGGAATTGAGGTAGACACCTGTTGATGGATCTAACACAATCAAACCATGGAAATTCTGCAGGAATTTCTGAGGAACCGTGCATATCCACTGTTCAAGGGTTGTGCAGAATTTTTTGTGAACTGGCTTGTCGAAGACGGTAAGGGCCATTTGGTGACAAACCCATCAACCTCGCCAGAACACCATTTTATAGCTCCAGATGGACAAAGCGCATGTGTGAGCTATGGCTCTACCATGGATATGGCTATCCTCCACAACTTTTTCAACGCTGTCGTTTCAGCAGCTAAAGTAAGAGCAACTCCTTCGTTCAACATGATTTCGATCAAAGTAGCTAAGTGCTGAATGCTCAGGGGGTGATATCATTCTTAGTTGGTATGTTGGCAATTGTCGTGACAACTTTGCATGAAACTGAACCCATATCATCTGTGTAGATTGTGGGACAGGATGAAGCAGAGTTGGTCTCTGAAGTTAAATCAGCTGTTGGTCGGCTGCTCCCTGCGAAAATTGGAAGCGATGGTCGACTTCTGGAGTGGGTTGGTACATTTGAACTACTGAATGTTTGATGTGCTTTTGGTCGATTTTTAAGTAGCACTACGATGTGAAGATTTTGCATCTACTAGGTCTGGAGCATCATAATACCGATTTTTTATGATTCTATTGGACCTAAATATATACATACTTGTTATTATTAGCCTCGTCTTGACCATTTATGTTCGTTGAAGTTTCTTCAAATCAGAACACATAACCGACTTTTAGTGCCACAGGTGGAGGAGTTTAAGGACCCAGAGGATACTCATCGGCACATGTCTCATCTGTTTGGTCTTTATCCTGGGCACTCAATAACGCCACAGTCTACTCCAGAACTTTGTGCTGCTGCTACACAAAGTATCCTAAAAAGAGGTACATGTTGCATATACTGCCGAGTGATTGTTATCATGAAATACCGTTGCTCAAAGAGATCTGTATTTGAGCATTAGTTACGGTGCATATTTTTCCATGACCTTTCTCGGTCTGAATGTGTTCTTGGTGAATTTTTTCATTATAAATGGGAATTGGTGAATTTTCTTTCTGTTTAAAAACTGGCCCAAGTACCATGTGATGCACCTTGTCGCCATCATATCGAATAATCTTCAAGTTTTTTTTCCTACACTTCTTAATAAATAGTCCTGTTTTGCGCTGTTCTGTTAACTTTAAATGTGCTTCACTGGTTCGCAGGGGAGATAGGCCCTGGCTGGTCAACGGCTTGGAAGACAGCGTTATGGGCCCGACTCTGGAATAGTGATCATGCTTATTCTATGATTAAACGTATGTTTACACTTGTTCCTTCTGAAGAGAAAGAAGAACGATTCGACGGTGGGGGTCTTTACTCCAACCTGTTCAGTGCCCACCCTCCCTTCCAGATTGATGGAAATCTTGGGTATGCTCTGAATATGTCCTACATATTTAAATTTTCTTTTTCTTTCTGTTTTTCTTCAGCATATTGTATATAACTTGTAATATGTAAAATACACTTGAACCCGGTGCTCCTGAAATTCAGATTTTTAGGAAAGGCATGTTATTGAGCGAGGAACTATATAAAACATAATATGGCAGTTCATTGGTATTTCTTAAGAAAACCGAAGTTACACTTTCTGATGCTGGCAATACCATGTTGCTCTGCCACATAAGCCTCTTTTGAACGTCTTCTTGTAGGTTTTTAATAGAACTTCTTTCTCACTGTCGTGCACAATGCTTATACAGATTCACTGCAGCAGTGGCAGAAATGCTATTTCAAAGTGATGAAAGTAATCTGTATTTACTTCCAGCTTTGCCATTGAGAAAGTGGTGTGATGGACTGATAGCGGGGTTACGAGGCAGGGGTGCCGTCACTGTTGGAATCAGATGGCTAGGTGGCAATCTTCAAGAAGTCACTGTGCAGGTGAATATATAAACCGTGTTACTTTTACAACTGGTAACGATGTTGAAATTTTGTTCAAAGAAACGCAAATCCAACTCTGAAACAAGTCTAGTGGTTTTTTTTTTAAAAAATAAACAATATTGTTTTATAAAAGCACATGAATAGATTTAATTTATAATAAATTAATAAATGATCGGTAATTTATTTTTGAGGAGCATGTGATCCTGATTGATGTTTGAATGTAACGACACCGATGCAGGTTGAGAAGAATTTTTCAGCTACGAGGATGCTTCATTACAATACCAAGGTTGTGACACTGCCGAAGTCAACCAGTGGTCCCCAATTGTACACTTACGATGGTGATCTGAATCTCACGAGGTCTAGATCATTAGAAGACTTGGATGCCGGCGGCGATAACTCGTGCATCATATTGTAATGTCGAGGTTCATGCTTGCTCCATGTTGTGAGGATTGTTTCCACCTGCCTGTCTTTGCACCAAACATCAGCTTTACATCTCCCTCAGTTTTAGGGATGTGGCCGTGTTGGAGGTCGTTTCTGCTTAAATTATGAGGAAGAGTTATCGGAGGGTGTTTGAGTGGAGATAGAGATTACAGCAAACTGTGTGCGCCTGACTTGCATAAGGTTTTTCTTGTAATTGCCCAAAATCTAGCTGTTGCAGACGGTGTAGCTCGGGACAAGGTATTCCAATGAGAGACATAAGTCATTAAAATTTACGTGGTCATACCAATATTGCTAAGTTGAAATTTGGTATGCATCTTATCGTCCACGTTGTTATCTGGGTCGTTCTATTATGAAGTGGCTCAGAGTTGCTCTACAATCTGCACAAAGAATGGGAGGTTAGGTGTGGTGCCTCCCATTTGGTAGTCACATGTTTTATCTAACACAAGCTTTACAACAAAGCAGGCCAACACAGCGCTTGTTTGACTACGCTGTATTTTCGAGATTTTTGAATTAGTCACATTCCTTGAACATGAGTACGCAAGATGTGAAGGAGTTGACTTGATGCACATGAATTCTGGTCACTCCAGTACGTAGCACTGATCAATCAATTGCTACGTGTTATTGTGTAATGAATCTAAACAATTGTTATTTCAAACAGTCAATTAACATGAAGGATCCAGCTTCCTGATAACATTACCAACCTTTCTTTTCTTCCTCAAAAGATAGACCTTTCAGTAGAAAAGTAAATTACCACCACTAAATGACCAACGCTAACGCTAGAGTAAAGCTAGCACCATTATCCACTATTTCTGAGCCTTAGCGAACACTTCGAAATCTAAATATTCATCACGAGTATCATGGAAGCCTTGGAAATTTGGAGAAATCGGGTGTTCGGCCTTCTAAGAAGGCTGTCTTTCCTTCTTGTCCTTCTTCTGTATTATAAAACAACAAGGTTGCATTCCCCGCAAGTTCCTGCAGAAAAAAAAAAGAAAAAAATAAAAACCAACAGTTACATCAGTGTCATCCGGAATAATCATTCAAAGCTCTGGGTCGAAATGAGTTATGAGGAACATTATATCACCTGAAGCCCGGCATGACCATCTTCAGCAGCATTCAGGGCCGACTTGCAGAGTCGAATTGCCATGGGGCTATTCCTCAGAATTTCGCGACACCACACAACAGTTTCTTCCTCCAGTTTTTCCAGCTGTATCATACATTAAAATTCAATCAAATTCAATCAAGTCAACCATCTTCTATCCTTCTCTGCAATCATGCTGAGCGATTGAGTGAAAATATGGCCATTCAGAGCATGAAACGGGGGACAAGGCAACTCACAGGAACAACTTTGTTGACAAGACCCATCTTGTCAGCCTCTTCTGCGGAATAGAATTTGGCTAAGAACCACATCTCGCGCGCCTTCTTCTGGCCAACCTGAGAAAATCCCACACGAGAAGTTGCTTCAAGATAATATACATGAGGTTGGAATCTACGAGTTTAATCACCATAGAGTTGGTGATAATTACCAAACGTGCCATCATGCTACAACCGTAGCCAGCATCAAAGCTCCCGACCTGCAAATTAAGAAACGGAGATATTAGTAACAACGCCAGTTTGGTGATTCATGTATCAGGAAGTGATATTATGAGAAAAGGTCAAACAACAAAACAACCAGAAAAGTACCTTGGGTCCAGTTTGTCCAAATACTGCGTTGTCGGCAGCGATTGTGAGGTCACATACCATGTGCAGTACATGTCCTCCTCCAACTGCATAACCTGCCACCTGAACACATAAATTTGGAGGGCAAGTATACCATTACATCCACTTTGAGAACGTGTTTCGGCCTTGGTTGCAACTTAGAATCCAGGTTCCAAAGAGGATGGCTCTAACGTTGATAGGACCTCGTCCGCTTTGGACGTATAACATTTCCCAAATACAGAGATGGAGCGACAAAACGACATGTAACTCACCATTGCGATCACCGGCTTTGGCAATCTTCGTATTTGCATCTGTACGAAGCGTGGATATATTCGTCAGTTTCAAACAGCGTTATGAAGTAGAGACTTATAAACTATCCAAGTGGCATGACTTGTGAACTGCAGACAGGTAGATTTGAAAATGCGGACATATTAGAAATTCTAGACATGGCCCTAACCACACTCTGATTCAAATAGATGAAAATAGGTCCAACGACCCCCCGAATTATCCAAAATACTAGCTATTACTATTGTAAACGATGGAAGGTCTTCAATGATGAAGAGTAATCCCAATGTTCTCTGTAAGGTCATATAACCAGCGGCAAAGGTGTTCATCCAGTCAGAACATCTTCACATCACGGCAAGTAGCTTTACAATGCATTGCAATACAAATATTACCTGCACATCCAGAATATTCAGGCGGCCAATATTATCATCTCCAACATATCCATGTTTTCCCCGCACTGCTTGATCCCCTCCGCTGCAGAAAGCTTCCGTTCCCTGCAAAGGTATACAATTGGAGCATAAGAGGTATATTCCCATTATTATTTCGTCCCAATACAATCATTGAAATCAGCATGCGTAAGGAAAGGGATAATAAGAATAGTAATAAGTAATAACAATAAAAAAGTGAATCCTTGCAATCAATTCCATGCGAACTTCACACTCAACAGAAAAAAATTGAGTGTAGAGGAGCAGCAGAGCACCTTGCCTGTGAAGATAATCACACCAACTTGCATATCATCACGCGCCAAATCAAAGGCGCGCTTCAGCTCCCCAACAGTTAGTGGTCGAAACGCATTCCTCCTGTCCGGCCTGTTGATAGTAATCTACGAGCATAGAAACCACAACCACAGCTCATCAATACCCAACATTTCTAGAAAGAAAATGCTGCTAGAATTACAAAGGAAACTCGCGAACTCTGCCAAAGAAAACATTGCTCCGGTAAGGCACATTCGCTTGTTCTCATACCCTCTCTCGCCATTCACAGAAGTACTCAATTCAGAATCCCAATAACAGAAACATTCCATCAACAGGCAAGCTTGTGCTAAAAAGCCTCAAACCCAAAGTACAGAGATGACTTAAAAAAATGAGTCACACACCAGCGCATTCTTTCCAGAGAGCAAACAGGCATTTTTACCTTGGCAATGCCATCGGAAGCGGACTTCTCGTAGAAAATGTCCCGAAACTCTTGCCCTGCGGGCTGCGGAACCGGGACCCAGGTGGGAATCTCACGCGACACGACCCCGTGGACGCGCTCGTAGCTGCTTAATTTCCGTCCCATCACACCCGACGCATGAGAATTGGATTGCGCGGCGCACACGGACGACGAGAGCGCAACGCTGCAGGTCCCCTCCTCCTCCTCTCCCCCTGAGTGGAGGTGCCGGGCGAGGGTGGCGAGACGGCGCTGGTGCCGCTCCTCCATCGCCACAGCTCTCTCTCTCTGGCGCTCGCTCTCTCTCTCACACACACACACACTCTTTCTCTCGCTTTGTCTTGTCTTATCGATCTCTAACCACACCCACCCAACCTTCACCACGAAGTATAGTAGAATCATTCGCCTCCTCCTCGTCGGATAATGGTTTCCGAGCCCATATTCTTCCCTCTTCCTTCTTCGCTCGTCGGTGATTCCGGTTTTCTCGTCTTGGATAATCCGCTGTTTTCGAAGCCCCCTTATGCTGACGTCGGGCCTTGCGGGGTCTCTCTCATTATCTAGGAATTTGGAGGAATGAGGGGGGACGTCATGTCCCTGGGGCTTTATCTAGGATTCTATCTAGGATTCTATCTAGGATTCGTGAATATTTTTTCTTCACTCTGAAGAAAAAAGGATCTTTTTGAGTCCTCGCTTTAAAGCGTGCAATTTAATTTTATGTTTCGTTTGAAATGGGGGTTTTGGTTTCAATGTGTTGAGGTGTGATGTTTTTGATTTAGAAGACGTTGAGGTGTGGGTAATGTTTTATGGTGGTTTGGATTATGGGATTATTCATCGAGCTCTGTTTTGCTTGCATGTGACGGTAGATGAGGAAAGATATAGTATTCACTAGTAAAGTAATAAATATATATTAATAATTACATAGTATATCATATATAGTAATAAATATATATTAAATTGTGTTTAAAATTTTGTACTATTTCAATAAAGTAGTTTTTTGCAAGTTTGTCATTAGTTATTTAAAAATAATTAAAGGGATATAAATTTAAATCAACAAAACAAAACAATGTATACTTAAGAACAAAATTAATATTGTAATTTTTTATGGGCATCCCCCCCTTGGCTATTTTGGTGCTTCCTGATTTGTTTATTGCTTTGTTTGAGAGTATAAAATATTTTGTTATCACTTGTTCCTTTGTCCTCCACTCATCTACACTTAAACAACCAACAAGCAACCTAAAGAGTACTAAAATAGCCAAGAGTAAATACCCATGCATTCTTTAATCTTATCATATCATATACTAATTTAATTCATTATAATATTAAAAAAAATCATACAAGAAAAAATTTATGTTATAATAATATTAGTTAACAATGAAATAATCTTTGGTTTTTTATATTAGTGTAAGTAGTATTGATTATATATATATATATATATAGAGAGAGAGAGAGAGAGAGAGAGAGAGAGAGAGAAGTTGTAAAAAAAAATTCTAAAAAAGTATACAAACCACACATGCAAAATAGAAAATAAAGAAGAAAAAGAACAACAATTTATTTGTAAAACAACTTATTGTTTTTTATTATAACTGAAAGATATTTTATCTTCGACAACAAAAATATACTTTTAAAATCCTCCACATAATTAATACATGATTAGGTTTTAGAGCATCTCATTTACAAGAATTTATAGATATTATAAGAAATATTATTTTGTATGTATATTACTATATAAAAATCTAAAAATGACATTATTATCAAAACTTCACAAACAAGTCAATAAATTTTTCATATTTAGGAATGATGCTTAATAATCATTAATACATATTTATCCAATCATATAATTAATATAAATTTAATTATGAACTTTCTACAACAAATCTTGTAAAAAATGCATTAATATCTTCTGTTAATTAAAAAGTGCACATTGGCCATTGTCTTTGTTGAACTTTTGGTTTGCATGTTTTAATACCTTAAGTGAACTTAAAATGTGATATGAAATTGAGTGTCTTTAAGGTAATTCAATTTTCTGTTTAATTATGTTTTTGTTTTCACTTCTCAATATACATGCTTCACACATTGTAGCTGCATTACACATTGTCAATACCTTTAACTTTTTTGAAACAGTAAAATCCTATTTCTTTAATACCTCAAAATTTAAATGGGTATGGTCCAAAGTTACTAAAAACCTTGTTTGCATCATACAACATGTTTGATACATTTACACCTTATTTAAAAAAGGTAAAATAAAAGTTTAAGATTCTTTGAAATTTCTAAAAGCTCTTTGGTGATGTTTTTATTCAGATGATAAAATATTTGTTAATGAAAAGTATTACTATTAAATAATAATAACAATAATCATCATCATCATCATCATCATCATGTGCAGTTCATTCTTTGAATTTTTAATTTTTTTGGACCATTGTTAAAAATATTTTATGTTTTTCTAATTGCAGGCCATTTTGGATTTTATAAAACAATGGAGTTACTACTGGTAATATGCTTGGTCTGTTACATAGAAATCCAAAGAATGCGATCTTTGTGCAAGGGCAAAAATAAAGGAAGGGATAATAGAAATCAAGCAAAAGTAAATTAAAATAACTATTTTGTGATTTATTTCATAAACATTCCAAAGCCATTTTATTTCGTCTGCAATGTTTTTGTACTTCACATGCTTGTTAAATATAAAAAAGAAAAATTGCCAACTTCATTTGATTGCTTGATTGTGTAAAATTTTAATAACTTGTGCAACATGCACAAATTTACATCCTGCAACAAGATAATTGCTAGCAAGTTTCATGCAAAAAAAATACCTGAAAATAACCCATTAATTCCATAAATCTTTAAAAAACATCACGCTTTAATTGAAGATTGAGATTTACTTTAAGAACAACAACATAATTCCTGTTGTTAAAGTGAAAACTTTACACAACAGCAATATCATTTTTTAAGACAAAACTCAATCTATGTAACCCTTGGTTGGTAATATTGAGCGAAACCCGTTTTAGCCACAAAACATGTAGTTTATTAAATTATAGTTAATAAAAAAAATACTCTGGTTGCATTAAAAAAATACTTTAGATACCCCTCATTTAAAGCATAATTAAAACGCAATTAGGTTTCATTGCTACAGGTGTGGTTTTTCATGTTCGCGCAGTGAGGGATGGAAGTCGGGTATCAACCAAACCTAGGTAAAATAGGTACAGACGACGGGTCCCGAGGATCCCGAGTAGAAGAAGACGGGTATAAACTAATCCGATGTATTACCTGGTATCAGAAGCAGCGAGGAAGGGAGTTGAGGTATAAGGGAAGCGGCTAGGGCCACCAGGACTTTCTTTCACTCAGACGCGCGGTGTTGCTCCGAGCTTCTCAGCGAGCCCATCAGCCCTGCAGCCATGGTGTCTGGCTCTGGCCTTTGCGCCAAAGTTGTGGTCGTCGATGCGCGCCACCATATGCTTGGGCGTTTGGCTTCCATCCTTGCCAAGGAGCTCCTAAATGGCCAGAAAGTCGTACGTTTCGTCACCTTCTCCTTCACTCAATCAACCAGCTCACGATTATTTTTTTTTCCTTTTCGGGTTTCCGAGGTTTTCAGCATGAATTTGGTACCCGATTGCTGTTATAGTTATATGTTTTTCGATATTGAATATTGCAGTGACAGGAATTTCGCCTGTTGTACTAGGGTTTTTCTAGGGTTTTGAAGTCGTAATTTCTATACGAGTGGCATTCTTTATTCATGTATTTGAATGAGGTTTCCTATCACGAGAATTCCATCATGTAACGTGAGTTTATTTAATGTTTCATATCTGAAATATATATCCCATAATGCATCGTCCAGGTGGTCGTTCGATGCGAGGAGATCTGCCTTTCTGGTGGACTCGTCAGGCAAAAAATGAAGTACTTGAGGTTCTTGAGGAAGAGGATGAACACCAAGCCCAGCAAGGGCCCAATCCACTTCCGCTCACCTGCCCGTATTTTGTGGAGGACCATTCGTGGGTAAATTACTTAGTCTTAATTGCTTTTCTTTGAATACGTGTATCCAGGGTTTTTCTAGGTGCAGAAGCAGGTAGCACTAGCTTTGGATTTTACCTTGGATATGAGAAATCATGCCTCATTGAGTAAGGGACTCGAAATGGCCGTAGTTTGTAGGACCTAAAATAGTTCGTCTATGTGAGTTTCGTCTCATATACATGAGACCCGTATAAGTGCTTGTAATCGAAAGAATACCTCCTGGATTGAATTACAGATTCCATTCTTATCAGGTTCAAACCAAAGTTAACCATTTATTTTGTTAAAATAAGAACTTTCATCTGAACAAATTATGTCACTTTGGCAGAATGATCCCGCACAAGACAAAGAGGGGAGCTGCTGCTCTTGAGCGCTTGAAGGCATTCGAGGGTGTCCCAGCTCCTTACGACAAAATGAAGAGGATGGTCATTCCTGATGCTCTCAAGTATGCTAACTTTCTCGCACTGTCTGATGTCAAGAAGTGATTATAATTTAGGTTACCAGTATGATTCGAGGACCAATGTAGGCTGTTGCTGCAGAATTGTTTTAGACTAATAAATCAATGTTATTGTGTCGTTCATGAGACGTTTTATTTATGCAGGGTGTTGAGGCTGCAACCTGGCCACAAGTTCTGTTTGTTGGGTCGCTTGTCGGAGGAGGTTGGATGGCACCACTACGACACCATTAAGGTTTGTAGTTCCTTACCAGTGACATTCATAAATTGTATAAGTCTTTTCAGGGAAATTAGCACGGAGGTCGTTCAACAGCTAAATCTTTGCGACGTGCCCCTTGGTCTTACTTTTCAATTCTATATATGATCGTGATGAAAATCCTGTATATCGTCTTCAATATTTTAAGATTCCACGGGTAAATTGTTCTTAAGGATTTAATTGAGTCACAACTTATGCGTTGCTGTTTTGTTCATTTCGTTTTGTAGGAGCTGGAGGAGAAGCGTAAGGCCAAGTCCAATGTCTTCTATGAGCGTAAGAAGCAGCTCATTCAGCTCCGCCTCAAGGCCACGAAGCGTGTCGAGGAGCAGCTCAGTTCCCTGCAAGAGACTTTGGCACCCATCACTTACACTTCATAGGTCTTCACGTTGGAAGTTGTTTCTGCATGAGGCCATTCATAGTACAGGATGTAGTGCTAGTGAGATGAAGGAGGATGATTCTTGACTGATGTAAATGTTCAATTTATTCCTTGCATGGTAGTTAAGATGATCCTCTTGCGGTAGAGTTTTCCCAGTACCATGGTTGTCTATCTTCGCTCATGTAGAAATGAGTATCTGGTCATTATGGCATTGCATGATATCTGAAGACGATGAGGATAACTAACGCAAATGAATATTTAGCATTCTAACACTGAATTTATCTTTTAATCAACGTCGATGTTAAAGATTTTTCTTGTTCTAGAAGATTTGAGGAGCTATTCACTTCATACGAATTGATGACTTCAAAGACCTACTGAAGACTGTAAGCGGCATTTAACATACCGCAATATTTGGACCGACTCCAGGCCCAAAATGTAATTGAAAATGCATAGTTGCACCCCGCGTTAATCATCAATTCGAACGCTGTTAATGAAGAGAGGCGATGAGCGGCAGTGTCCAGAGCGGCAGTGTCCAGATTGTGTTGGCGCAGTCATGCCCATGAGCAGGCCGTCTCCACTATGGGTCAAAGTCGTAGGCTTACACTTAATAGTCAAATGAGAAGTGACTTCCAAAATGATAGTTCTATTACTTTTACAACCTACTTCATGGAAAATTATAAATGACACAACTGAAAAGAAAATGCAGAAAACAATAACTTTGTTGTGGTCCAGATGAAAAAAACTCCATTCAATTCTATCACACATTACCAGATAGGTCCAAATCAGGGTGGGAGGCAAAAAACTCATTTTTTTTCTTTTTACTCTTTCAACAATTAATAGAATGTTGATGTTCAGATCCTAAAATACGTCAAAGCATAGGAACATTTCAAAAGTATACTGAATAATTTTAAGGAATAAGTAAATTTGACCGCAACATCCAAGCTAATAAATCGTGTCGGCACAGTAATTTTTCTTAATTCTTAAACACACTGTCTACCTCAGCCAAGGGCTTATCTTAGCTCCAGCTTCATGACCATCATATGCATTCCCGAAACTTCACATAAATTTGATGCTGACGTCGATTGAACATGAGTTCGTAAAATGGCAGACAAATAAGGCCTGTAAAAATTCATTGCAACATGTGACAAGCATGCCGTACACTAGGCACTGGGAACAGGCTCGGCTGCACCTGCATCAGTCTCAGCAACATCTCCAACGGGCCTCTCAATCTTGGAACCAACCTCCTCACTGTAGTCACCATGAACCTGTCCGAGCAGGAATCCAAACCAGCAATAAAACAATCAAAACAAATCCAGCAGGCCAAGTGAGACCAACTAAATCTACAATCGCGAATTCCAGTGAAGATTTCTTCACTATATTCGCTACACGCGAGACAAAAGCGTTTCATTGTAAAACAATTACAACCTAATCCCCGCGACGAATTACAACACCCGAGCATGAAATTCGTGACTGTCGACTCACCTCCATAAGTTTCATCAGATCGAACTTGGGAGCCTTGAGAATCTTCACCTTCCTGATAAAAGTATTCTGCAAGGGGTAGATACCTTGAGTTGCCTTCTCAATTTCCTTCCCAATGACCTCAGGAATAAACTTGGAAACCAAGTCTTTCAAGTCACAAGTCTGGGCTTCACGAGTCATGATTTCCCTCATCTTCCGCCTAATCTGCATACCCCAAAATGATGCAACAAAACCTTAAGTTCCACAGTGTGCATGATATGAGCAAAATAATTATAACTGATCAGAAACTGTCGACGGCTATCAGAATTCGACCTTTTTCAGCCCTTCTACGACATGGAAAGCCCTGCCAGCATTTCATTCATATGCCGTTCAATCCTAGATTAGAAGCTAGTCGTGCATAACTAACAGTTTCCAACTTAGGTTAGTAGCGCAAGCTAGAATTGCACTCTTCGAGTAATACAGGGTCAATGCTGAATACAAGCCAATCAAATAAAATCGATGTACGGTTTCAAACCTGACGAATTTGGCTGCTCTGTGCGTAGCAAGTCTTCTTGATCTGGTTCGGCCTCTTCTTCGTGGATGCAATGCAGAAAATGCGAAGCTGGTAATTGTCCGTGGTTTTTACATCCACATGAGCTTCGATCAAACTCTGCCACTTGCGCACCAGAGACCGCAGCTTGTCGGTTGTCAAGTCCATGCCCTACAAGAATTCAGCTGTCAGAATATGACCATAACCTGTCATGAGGATTCCTCCTAGAATCAACCACCTGTTCTTAACTCCTCTCAAGAAGCCCTCTCGGAAACACAACTACACTCAACCTTTACGTGCGGCCACACCTACACTCAACCCGGATAACAGTATGTCCTAAGCCTAAATTGACTCAGAAACAAGACTGCATAGTACACACACCCAAAAATTCGTGAGAACATTCTTGCCCTGCACGTCCTCAGCCCTCAGCTTGATCTTGCGGAAAGCCTGGTCCTCGTCATTCTGCAAATCAGCCAATTAGACCTCGAACACACGGCCCCTTAAGCCATCGGAAGCAATCTGGTAACATCCAGCACACCTGATGTTAGCAACAAACCACATTGACAAAAATAAAAATAAAAACACACACACACACACATGATGAAAAAAATCCAAAACCTTCGCACCTTAGTACCGGCGGTCCTGGTCACGAGAGTCTTTCCCAGCGACTTCTGCGGGAAGGTGTTGGGAGCTTTGATGTCATACCAGTCCTTCTTGGAGAAGGGATCAACACTGCGTAGGACTCAGAAGATATCGCCATGTCATCTCAAATCCTCACAAACACATCAAAACCCTAATAAACGCACCACTGTGAGTGGGGGGGATAGAGAAAGAGAGATAGCGAGCGAGGGAGAGAGAGAGAGAGAGAGAGAGATTATGGGAGCGTACATTTTCTTCTTGCCACCCTTCTTCCCCTTGGAAATGCGCTTGTTCTTCCCGACCGCCATGGTTGCGGAGGGCGGCGGAGAAGAATTGACGACGAAGTGCCGAAGGAGGCTCTGTCGATACTGGGGCCCTCCCCTTTGGCTCTGGCCGTCCCGCGGAACCTCTATTCACACCGCCTTTGTATTTTTCCCCTCGACCCTGTTCACACCACCCTCAGTCCTCGTGTCCGTTCACACGGTAATCTCCCCTTATCCTCTCCTCATTTTACTACGATCCTGTTCAGACCGGAATTTCTGTTTCTATTGCGTTCTCAACGCGTTCGCATGTCACCTCAATACCCTCCTTCGTTCCCATTTGCTATTAAATGTTACTTTGGGGAATTCAATTTTTGTAATGTCGTGGTCAATATTATATACATCGAAGAAGTGTTGTTGTCATTTTTCACTATTTTATAAGTTTCTCACTATATAAACTATATCTTTGCTTCTATTTTGATAAGAAAAAAGAAAAAGGGAATAAAAAATCGATGTTGTGATTATAAATGAATAGAGAAGGAGTTTAAAACCCAAAACAAATCAATACATCTTGTTTTGATTAAAACCAAGTTATGTGAGCCCATGGAAGGTCAATAAGCTCAATAAAGATACAAACATAAACTCTTTCATTTATGTTGAAGTCTTACACCTTAAAGTAAATCAATAGTTGTATAGGTGTGTGAACATAAATATATATATATATATATATATATATATATATATGTTTTAAAGATAAATAATTTTGGCCTTGCAGGCACTTGGCGGATTGACTTGGTTCTTAAGTTAATTTTCTAAAACAACTGTAAATTGAATAATGCTCAGAAGATGAATGTACTGCAAATTTAATCCAAGTGAGTGGAAATGAAAAAGAAGAAAACAGAAAAAAATATATATATTTAGATAATAGGTGGATAGACATTGATTATGATCAATTTCTTAATTTTCTTTTTTTATAGAAAGCTATCTAAAAACATTTATCTTTAAACGATTATTCCTCCTGTAAGTAATACTAAGACATACAAAAAAGGACCAAAGTAGAAGATTTATAACTAACAAATATATGGTTGAACTCAGAAAAGAAAAGATGCATTAAACTTCAGCACAAAAGGAAATGCAAAAATAGGAATAATCCTCCTGTTTGTTAGACTCTAACATTAGAAATCAAAATTTTATAAATTTCATAATATTTTTTCTTCTAAAAGAATTCATTTAAAATGATTGATTGAATACTTCTATGTTTGTGAAATAATATATGGTTGTTATATGATAAATAAGGATTTTCTAATTTTTTTTGATGTCGATCCTTAGGCTAAACTGCTATCATATAAAAATCAAAACTCGAATGGAGATCATTATTATTATAATTATTATAAAAAGAAGTATTGCTGTGTATAATATGCCAGTAAATTTTAAATTTTTTGAGGATACTTTTGGCATTGTAAATTATTTGAAAATTACTTTTGATTGAACAAGAATCTTTGGGACCCAATTCTTTAGCTAACAAATTACACAAATCCTAATAACAGAGTTTTAACTTTGAATAAATTTTGAACATACATCATTTTCAACTGATTCTAATCCTTATTTCAATCCTAAAAATATAAATATAGAAAAAAAATAAAGAAAGTTCTTAAAACTCATAATTTTCTTGGGGCCATATATATATATCTACATACATATCTAAGATTTTTCATTTGATTTTTTTGATGGATTAATGTGCTGGTCTAATTCAAACTTAAACATGTTCTTTTAATTTTTTTTTATGCAATTACAAAAATAGCACACATGGTGTATTAAATTAATGTTAGTGTTTTTTATTTTATTTTATTTTTGTTGCTGATAGAAACCATAGATTTTTTGTAAAATGCTCACATATATTAACATATCTCTTAGTTTTCATCAGTTTTTTATTTTTTTATTTTTTTATTTTTTTGGAATTTGGAATTTGTAAACCACATACAAACAAACCAATAAACGTGATATAACTGTAGCTTTGCAAACTAATGAATCGTAACTCCACAAACTTTTGAGTGGTCATTGTGTTTTGGTTTCAGAGTGACTTCACTAAAGAGCAAATTTCTTGTAAAACATCCATAAACGCCGTCCAAAAGATATCCATTTTTATTTTTTAGTTCTTTATTTTTTTAATTTATAAAAACGACTTTTGAATTGGTTTGATTTGCACATGGCATGTCTTTTTCATGATTTTAGGTCACAATGCTTTGTTTCACCCTTAATATCTGTGGATTGACTCTGAAATATCAAACAGAACAACTCAAAAAAGAAAAAAAGAAACATAAGAAACATAAGAAACATAAGAAACGACCAAGAAACTAAACGAACACTTCCAAATACTGATATTCTGCTTTCAGGTCTAACTTCCATTACACTTTAATTACCTTCTGGGTATTCTTATTTATTATTCCTCTGTTGTTTCAGAACCAAGTTCAGATTTTTGTGGATCAGATGGAACAAAACGATCAGTTTTTTAAAGACTGTGACGTGGTTTCATGTTTTGCCATTGCCAAGTCAGGAACACATCCTTCGAAACAACATAATGTTCATGACGTTTATTCTTATGCACTGCATTTCACATTTGTCGACATTACCCATCTGTTTCCAAAACAAATGATAGCATAAGTCTGACCCTGAGACCTCAAAGATTCTGACTTCACACAAATGCACAATACGCTTGGTTCGTCGCACACCAGAACTGCATCGAAGCATCTGAACGTGCACACGAAACCAACCCCAACTGGAATGGAGTTGAACATGCATCACTCACATGGATCCAGTTGCTGTAGGTTCTGCCCAACTCACCGAGGCTTGACACACGTACCGAAACTGAACAGACAACAGGTTCCGGTGAAGTCGTGACTTACTGGTTGCAAACACAAATCTCGCTATTCTGATGTGCCATGACTGTCATATTCTGACGGATCATTACAATCTGATACTAACTCAATCATGGGAGCTGTATTGCAAGATCTCCAGCCCCTAACGGTCTACACCGTGGTGTACAGAATGCCGGTGATGTTCGAGCTTTTGTACTTTCCTTCTAGACATACCCCGCTTTTGATGATTTTAGCTTCAATCACATCTGCCTCTTGAATTAACAAACAGAGCTTCATTGGGGTGGTACCGGCGGTTCCAGGTCGCTGGATCAGGTTTGGTGCACGCGAGCACTGCAGGATGTGAACATCTCCTGTTGGAGAAGTTAGCTGTCGGTGTGGTCTCCGACATGAAATAACGTGCCCAAGAGTCGAGATTTATGCCACGGATTGCTGCGTAGAAGAGGATCGTATTTGCAATATGTTTCACATGGAATTGTGGAGGTTTTTCGGTCATCCTTAAGCGATTTCATGAGCTGCTCTCGAGAATTAGGCGATGTCGTGGACATGAACATCCGAAGAGAAGTGGAGAACTTCAACCCATATTGTTCGTGACAATTAGATCGACTTCGACAGCGATTCGTAATTTTCGACCCACTTTGTGAGCAGTATCCTCTGCTAGTCGGCTGTTCTGGTTGCCGACATGTGTCCATTCGCAGGTTTCTGGCGTCCTTTGGTAGTCTTCGTCGTGGAATGAGGAGGATTCAGTGCGAGCCATATTTGAGGTCCTGCGTGAATTGTTGTGAGTATCCAAGAATCAATCGGTTTCCAGTGACAGTGTGTCAGAGAATAGATCTACTTCTCAGTTTGGCTTTTCTTTGTTTTGGTTATGACATATTCACTGTTGATTCCAGTGCAGACTAAGGTCGTCATTGTGTGGACAATAGGAATAGTAGTTACAGGGTGGAGTACTGGTACAAGTGGTATTTTTCTACATCTAGATGGCTCTCACCTCGGTCCTTCCTGCTGGATCGCAAATTTTGATGGAAAAACCTCAGATTATGTATTGAAATTAGGAGGGGGCTTTTGACATGAAATTTTTGCGTGTGTCACCGTGAAAAACGATACAGGTAATGTTAGAGGTAATTAGTGCACTCCAATGCCCCTGAGATATGGTTTCGGTTAGTGGCTTGAGGGATTGTTAATGCGAGTATGGCTTGTGAGAATGAGCACATTTTTTAAAAAAAATTTAACTTTTACTATTAATGAATTGGTAAATTTACGTAGTGTTAGATAATTCTCTCGTGACTTCACTTCTCACATTACTCTTAGGTTCTCAACGCAGTGCACTCGAAGGAATCATAACAGCAGTGCTGCTTTACATATGACTGACCAGAATTCTGAACACATTTGCGGTAATGGACGCAGGAAATTCACACATCTATTGTTGCAAAACGCACCACACTTATGTCTATTAATAACTCATACGGTGTGGCTCACCATTGATCCTTAGTTCCTCTAAGAATCAAAGGTTCATGGTGCAAGAACTTCACTCCACTGTTCACCAATCGCTTCACCAATCTCGGCATATGTGTGTATAGAATAGAAGAATCAGCTGCTTCGGTGTAGAGTCCTACACGCGTCTGATTCAACGATCGAGCCTATTCCTCAGAGCCACTGTGCACCTTTAATTCGACATGTTGCAACGTACATCGACAGACACATCGACATCGAACCAACTTCCGATGACCGTGGCGTAACCACGATATTCAAGCAACTCTCGGAAGCTCCAGGGATTAGAGAGTACCGTAATATCTGAAACCCCGAAAATCAGCAACTGCGAACACATAAGATCTTGAGCTAGAAAAGCAATATCTTGGGTGGGACAAGCGGCAGTATTTCACTGCAGTAGGCCGTAGTTGACCATCCACCACTTGTGCAGCGGGGCACTCGTGGAGAGACTTGTGAGGACGCTTTCGCACCATGGATCTTGCAGACTCCAACTGAAGATAACTTGTTTCTAAGCCTCCGCTGAACGCCTAATTTGGATTGACTGGGGCGGCCAAAAGAGGCAAGACGATGTGTCTGGCAATGGAATGGGTCAGGGAGGTGGAAAATAACAAAGATTATGCTCTGAACCAGATGCAAATGATCCGGCACGTCTAGAGGTCTAGGGGAGAGGCCTTGGTAGAGGTAGGCTAACCAGGTCTTGCTGGGCTCTACAGTTTACACATTTCTACGAGAAACATACTTGGTTTACATTTGTTTGGTTCAATTTATGTTTGTTTTTGTACAAGCCTTGCTTTTTGTTCATAGCTCTTACCTGTGTTCCGCATGGGCCAATCCAATATCTTTCATCCAAACTGTAAGTTTGAATTAGTATTTCAGCTTAATTGGCTAATTGAACACGCCCTGATTACGAAACGTTTGTTCAAATTGTAAAGAACATATCCTGAGAATTCGCAAGATAGAAATGTTTAACTGATAGTATTTATTTTGTAACATTTTTTTGATATATATATATATATATATATTGATGGGAATATTAAGGGAGGAGCAAAGGGTTGTGCACTGTTTGGAAAAACTAGAATTACAAATGATGAAGTGCCACCTGTATCTCCCTGACAAGTTGTAGCAATTACTTTGCAAAGATGGTTAATAAATCTTTTTAACTCACTTTTGAAAACATGGTTGTGGTTAGCACACAAATTCTATCCTCATGTGCATCTTCCATCCATCTCATCCATCCATCTCCTACCTAGTAGCGTCAATACAAAATGAATCCATTATCCCTTAATTTCACTAACTGGATTTGCTCTAGTTCTTTTATTCTCTTCATCTTACCCTTTCGCCTCACAAAAATCACAGAGATCATGGAGGGTGGTCCAAGTGAAAGCAGATATGCAAACCAAACCGCTCATGTCCATACAAAATCACAATTAACGAAAAGAATTCTGAAGACTTGATCAACACTTGGAACAAGTCAGAGCTATTACAAAAGTTATTTAAAAAGGCCCAATGTGCCAGAATTCATGGGATGGGCTACTACTTCTCGTGGCAAAGTAGGATCCTCCGAAAGCAAGCTCCCATCCCCCCTGCTGTGTTGTGTTTTTGTGATGAATCCAGTCCTTGGAGCTCAAAGCCAGTTCAAGCGAAAGCTGGGTTCCACGCTCACCCACACAATCTTACTTTGTCCATTCACCTGACACTGAAACCCCATCGCAAATCTTCCTCGGGCTCTACTGAGCTTCCAAATTTTCGGATGAGGGCCAACAATCTCTTGTCAGGCTTTCTCTGTGTCTCAGGTGCCGCAGCGGAGCTTCACGACGAGACGCAGATCTCGTCTTTCTCAGGCCTAGGCTTTCCAGATGTGCTGACTTGTGCTCCATCCAACCTAGAAGATCTCCCCCCCCCTTTTTGTCCCAGATTGGGCAGAGCATACTAACTTCATCCAGTGAATCAGGATGATGCCAAGCAGAATTGGGGTCAACTTCATTGTGATGATAGAGATCGGAATCATGGCTTTCAGAATCCAAGGTGTTGTGTCCATCTTCCATCCATCTCATCCACTTTTCGTAACGTGCTTGATTTCCTCTCGCTTGCCGTGAGTTGTGGATCTGTTACAATGGAGAGGGTGTTACAATGCTCCACACCAGGGCCATGTGCTTTGCGCAGTTAGTTTACTTGGATCCAGTTTCATGAAAACTAAACGAACAAAACTGCCCTGGACATGGGGCATTGTATCCCACCGGTCATGCTACTCATTGTTTACGTTCTAAACTTGTGTTTGACACCACCTTCCTAACAACAAGTTTGTGTTGATCAAGCATTTGCCTTGAAACTGTGCCGAAGACCTCATAAGCTACGGCTCATTTGCTTTTCGCGGAGAACGATTCCCTACCCCGAGCAAAGCATGCATGTTGCACATATAAGGGGTGTCATGAAAGCACAAGATGCTCTGCGTACAAGGGTAGGAAGGAAGGGATGTAGCTTCTTATGATACTCGCTCAAAAGTGAATGTGGAGCGGTGGTTTACCTGTGGCCCCCGCGCTAGTGCCAGTCAGAAGGAAGCCAGGGATGGGGGAATGGGATTTAAGAGGAAGATAACGAACTAGAGCTTGGTGGATTCGAAACTGTGAAACCTGCTGGGAGGGTATGAGCATGAGGCTCAAGGATCTGCCGGTGATTGTAGCAGTTTCGACGACACCCGACGCATGGACCGAGCACCACGGCACAGTTTCACTAAATCAAGGCACCCCAGCGGCTTCGAAAGAAACTTACCAACTACGGTGCCGTGGATTATTCCTGCCACGTGGTCCGGAATCCGAAAACTTGTTGCGAATTGGAAACTGCACAGTGCTGGGCTGGGTACTACTGCGCAAGCTTGTTCCCAGCTTCCAAGCGAAGACCGTTCTTGCCGTGATCGTCGTCATGTGTCAGGGGCAGCGATCTGCACGACTGCAGCGCAGCCACGATCATCACTACCACTGTTAGACCCTCCTTCCTGAACCCAGAAGTTCCGGTTTCAGTGTACATATCGACCAGCGCTTCTGCAAGCTGAACGGGTGCTGCAAGTCTCAGTTGCAGGCGCCTGTCATTCGATGACTCCGTTTTGGGGCCTGCTGCTGTGATTATTGAGAATTTTGCTGCAGAGCCGTGCAAAATAGACGACAAGAGGTAGAGAAGCGGAGGGCGCTTTGGTTGTAGTTATTTGAGGACAAGGAAACACGGGTGAAGTCGTCAAATTTTGATTGAATTGGTCGTGATTTTTTGTGAGGAGATTAGTAATTGAGTTGCGTTTTCGAAGTTTGGGCTTCTGAGATTAGTGTTCCGGTGAGGGAGGTAATTTGCGGTCCCGCATAGCGAGCGCAGAAGCAGGAGTTTATCGTTCAGACAAGTATATATAATACATCAAACTATTTTCGCAGTTCACTACTGCCGTGGTCTCATAGATTAAAGAGGATTAAGTTGTAAAATACCTGTAAAAGCTATTTTTCCTGACACTGCCGAAAAAGACATGATCATGGACGTGACAAGTGTTAATGGCACGCCTACCGCAAAGAAATTCGGCGGAGGAGGATCACCTGCTTGTACAAATCCCAAAAATTTGACAAAATGGGCGGCATTGATTGCATCTCTTGTAATTCTGCTCCATTCATCGTCGACAGGAGTTTATGCTGCAAGAAGCTTCGGAGATGCAATCTCATCTTCAGATGTTTTAGTTCTTTACAAGAGTGGAAGTGAATCTTCAAGAGTGCACAAGCTGAGGAGTGCCACAAACACGGAGAACGTCGAATTTGGACATTTTCTTGGTACACTCTCTATGGACTCAAACGATGTATGCTTGATTGTGCTTGCGATAGTTGGTGGCTTTCTTTGCTACAAACTTTTCCCCCACAAGGTTATCTCGTGTTTGAAGTAGAGTGGTTTTTACTCAGCTGGAAGTACTCATGAAAATAAATGGTTCTCAAAGTGATTGATTCTCTAATTACAAGATGTAAGTCCTCTATCTTCGAGGGTTTCTGGACTATCACCTCCCACGCTCTGTATTTCGGATTGCGGTGCTTGTCGATTAGTGGAATTAGTAACCTTTTTTTGATTGCTATATGAAGCAGGACTTTTTTCAGATAATATCGTAGGTTGTTTTTGAAAAGTAGCTTCCTGAGCTTGGTTACAGTTGTATTGCCGGAGTTGTTGTAAACTTTCTTCTGAATTGAGTTCTTGGGCTTCTCTTTGCGGGTTCATCAGTTCTTGGGGTGTGTTGCGACGATCACATTACCATTTACAAGTTGTTCACTTGGTGTACGCTGAATCACCATTTGGAAATCATGGAATGTGCGTTTTTCTAGGCAGTTAAGAAAAAAAAGTCTCAGACCACCAAATGAGTTTGAGCTGATTATTTCTACATCGTCAATGGGCCTCGTGAGCTATGACGAAAGTATGAGTGCTTGGAGGTGTCCTCACGCACTTGTTTCACGCTTGCTGTTCTCGCAGAGAGAAAGCTATTGCAAGTTCAGCCACCTACAAATACACGACCATTGGCAGTGAGAGGAGACCGTAGAGATCCAACCAATGGCTTTAGGAAGTATCGAAGAGGATACGACGTGAAGAGCAAAAGCTATTGGGCGGTAGGGCATTTAGTTCTTCACTCTTTTGATGCTCTCCTTCACTTTAAGATCAATTGTAGTCATTCAATATCTTTGACGTTTGGTCTCCTCTTTTGTGCGCGCATCCTCAGATTCAGTAATTCCCGCAGTGCTTGGGGTTTTTTTTCTGCTTCTAATGTTTATCTTTATAGTTGCTTTTCTTGTGCCATATACCTGTCATGATCTTGTGATTTGATAACTTATTGATGATCTTACATTGATTATGGATTTGGTGACTTCCACACTTGCAGTCAGCGATATATACGGGAGTCTATGGGTTTTCTATAGCTGTGGCTTGGTTACTTCTGGGATTGCTCCTAGTTCTAGCTGCAATCTGCAAGCTCTGTTGCTGCCGTCGGGAGAAGGTGCAAGAGCCGCGTTCATCTTTTTACTATTGGCTACCTCGCCTCCTCGTGCTGCTTCTTTCACTTTTTGCCATGTATGTTTATCTCTCACCCATTACTTCGGTCGTACTTCTGAAGTTTCTAAAAGCGAGTTGCTTGAAGAAGATTTTGTTCATTGTTGAATGTTTTTCGGAGCATCCGTCTTTTCATGAAACATCACATGTTTTGTTTAAGAGTACACATTTTCTGTTTCTAGAGCTAAGAAGAGTAAGGAATTGGGAAATGGTGTTGCAGAATTAAGCCTGTGGAATAAATCTCTTTGTCCGCACTGTTAGCGTGTTGCGGTCTGAGCAAGTGACCCCAATGTTTTGGTGTTGATGTGTTTTCAGAGGATGTATTATTACACTGTTCGTACGGAATGAGCAATTTCATACACAGGCTTTCAATGTGAGAGATACAATAAGAGCATCATCAAATGATGCAACAGGCGCAGTTCGCAACGTATCCTCGACGTTGTCGGAGGTGGATACCCTTGTTAGTAGATACGGCATTGCTGGTTTGGAGCGTATTGGTCAGACAGTGACAAGCCTTAATCAGCAAGCTGAAACCATAACAACAGAAGTGGATAATACCTTAAGCACATTAACCAAGCTTATCAATGGAATGTATGATGCCCATTCTCATAACTCCAAACATTTTGTATAGTCCATCACAGAATGTGAGATAAATTCTCCATAAATGTTGCTGCTTGGTTTATATTATTTTACTGTTGTTGTTACTGCTTACATTCGTTTGCTTTGCTTTTGGGTGTGTAATCTTTAAACCTAAAAACGATTTTCTTAATGGTTTGAGTGTTTCTCTTTTTATTTTTATTTTTGTTGTTACAGAGAGATTGCATTGATAATAATTCTGGCGGTGGCTCTTTTCCTCGTAATTGCAGGACTTGGTAAGATATCCAGTCTGGTAGCGACCTCAGTTAATGTGTAATTTTACAATGATGTAACAAGATAATCATGTTCTTTTCACTCAAGTGTTTTGACGTACAGCTCGATTTGGTGTTATACCGACACTATGCACGATTTTGAATTGTTTATGCTGAATCAAATATTTTCTCCTTTCGAATCAGTCAACATCTTTATATTTACTTGATACGGTGTTATTCTTTCCTGCAGTGACGGCTTGTATAGGTTGGAGAGCTCTTCTTTTCTTGTAAGTTCCATCCTCCAAAAAATGTTTATATGCTCTACAAAATAAAAAGTTTCAAATCAGTAATTTGTGACCGAAATTATATATATATATATATATATATATATATGTATATTTTCTCGTGGTACCTGCACCTATCGTGTTCTTCAGTGTTTGTAGACACTTGATTAATGGTTATGGAAAAGACTACACGTACTGAGACATTCCTACTTACTGTGTTTGACAGGATTCTTTTGTTGGGTTGGATCCTTACGGCCTTGACCTGGGTTTTGTTTGGGCTTTTCTTCGCTGTCAACAAGTTAGTAACTCCCTATACATGTCCATTCTATTTCATCATATTTTAAGAGGAAATAGAAATCATAGGGTATGTGTTTTGTACTCTCTTTGATCGATGCGAGGATATCTCAAAATTCTTGGTTGTTGAGTGAATGTGATCTGATTGCTTCCACTTCCATAATTAAATTCTTGAGTTCGTGTGTACAATCAAGGATGTGAATCCTGCTTGTTTTGCAAGATCTATAATGGATGTGGCGTTGATATTGCAGTGTTGCATCAGATACATGCCAAGCTTTCACCGAGTACTTACAGGCCCCTGCAAATACAACGTTGGACGACTTGCTTCCATGTGTAGACCTATCAACTGCCAGTTCCGCATCAGGAGTAGCCAAGCAAGGCGTTAGCAACATAATTGTACAGGTGAGTACAAGCTAAAACTCTTGTTTTTTTCACTCTCTACACCTGTAATATGCGCGCTTATACTTATTCATGCATGTTTTGCACCTCAGCGCAGTTTATTACAAAGATGTTTACAGATGTTTATTTTTTTCCCATATGCCAGGCCAACGGAGCTATCACTCAAATACGGGATGCAAACACTAGAATAGGTCGAAACACTTCTCTACCTGATGTGTGCAATCCAATTGGTCCAGCCCCAACCCACATATTTACAAACTCTTGCCCTCGGGGTACAATCTCAATTGGTGAACTACCACAAGTGAGTAATGAATATTCCTACATTGTGATGTATTATTTGAGTTGAACCTTGCAACACAGTCACTAATATATATATATATATATATATATTTATTTATTATTTTATGAATAATCGATGTACCAGAATTAACAGATTGATTATTTGTTCCTCAGGCTATCCAACCTTACGTTTGCCCAGAAGAGCCTCTTTCAAATACGTGTTTGGCTGAAGGGCGTGTTGTTACTCCAACTCAAGGCACAACTATCAGGGATTTTTCTCAAGGTACAATCAAGAACATGAGATCTTATCATGTGTTGAGTTCCCATATTAAAGCACAACGAAATGTTACAATAAATTCAAAATTTTATGCTTTGACTAAGTATATCCCCGCGTGGAAAATATTTCCTGAAGCAAGCTGATGCGTTGTAGTTCTCATTTGATGCCGTGGTTTTCTTGCAGGGGGACAAAGTTTACTGAATATAATTCCACAGGTTGACAGTTTAACCAACTGTTCCTTCGTGTACGATACATTCAACACCATTGTTAACGAGCGATGCAGCCCTGCAAGAAGAGCTATTCGAAACCTTTGGATTCCATTGCTGCTTTTGTCTATAGCCTTGACATTGATAACAATCTCTTGGATTCTGGCGAACCATCGCAACAAAAAGGAACGTTACTCGCATACCATTCACGCTCAAGATAGTCCAAGACCCACTCAAAAGTGAAAAAGCCCACTAGAAAGTGTAAATTTCGGCTGTAGCGATTTAATTTGATATGCTAGTACCTTTATTTAGAGGCATTCTGAAAGTACACTCTGGTTTCAGATGCATGCTGAGAACTTAAGGTTTTTTTTCAGAAGTAAAGAGAGGAAGGGAAAGGGAGGGTTGTTGAGTGTGCATAGAGCTGCCGAAGTAACCGGCACACCTTATTTCATTTGTGAACAGCTTTTTGAATAAGAAGAAACCATCTCACTTTGGATATTCTTAATTAACTTTACCAATTTAAATGTTGGTTTTTTATTAATTTGTTTGTTTTTTTGTTTTTTCTATTAATATAAGTCGATTCAGTTCATTGACAATGTCTGCAACCCATAAACATTTCATCATCCAGTCTCAGTAGATTCCAATAAGTAAACAGTTCACAAACAGAGAAAGTTCATGCTATGACTATACAAAATTCAAGATAACGCAGTCCAAGTGAAACAGCTTAAGCTTATTCACAGTGTCAGTTTCTGCTCAAGTTGCTAACAGCACAACGGCCAACTACATACTCAAATCGTTGGTTGTTGTTGAGCTGGTCGATAACTCATATCCAACAGACTGAGCATTCCACGAAGCAGACTACCAAAGAACGGCAGGAGGCAGACAATGTGTCGACCAAGGGTGTCAAAGCTGATCTCCCTGCTCATAGAGTTTATTTTTGTCCTAAAGACATCTCGACCGTCGATCAGCTAGCTTAGATCTCAGTATGAATCCATTGAGACACAAAGTTTCTGATCATCATGCACATTTGCATTCCGCTTGTTTCTAGAGCTTGTTAGGTCATGGGTCTAATTCACAATCATTGTTAAAATCATCATTTTTTATTTTTTATTTTGTCAAACTATATTTTATTTCTCCAATTGTGCTTGAATTGATTACAATTATGATGTCTTTCTTAGTTGCCTACATTTTTAACTCTATTATCAAACTCAAAGATAGTAGCAGCTACAACCAATAGTGACCAATGTGCAAAGTTACTCTTATTTTTTTTGGTGGGTAGAAGCATGTTGTTGGTATTGTTATAACATCAATTCAACATATCAAGAAGAAGGACTACATCTTTGTTGAGCACCTTTGCCCCTTTAATGTTCAAGCCTTTGATGCTTATGTATGCATCATCTCTAGATTCCTTATTATATGTCTAAATATTGCTAACACATGTTGATATTGCTAAACCATGTTGGAATATATTTTCTAATTTCTATTTTTTTTAAGACATTTCTTACATGTTTGATATTTATTAGTCATATATGTTATTGAATTATTAAAAATATTCTATTAAAATATAATGTATGTCATTCCTTACTATTTTTGATTGATATTAGTATACCCAATTAAATATCTATGTCCAATTGAACACTTTCTATAAGATATAATTTGTTGTTTTTAGAGACAAACAATACTTTGGCACTAATTACAATAATATATTTGATGATGTTGTGCATCTTGAGACCTTTTATCTTATAATAGCTCTTATTATTATACAAAATAAAGAAGTTTATTTAAAGAATACTATTACAATGTTTTTCAAAGCTATCATTCAAAAAGATCTCTTAATATATATTTGGCCACCTTTAAGTTATGAAACTTATACTTTCAGCAATCAACTTCTTATTTGATTTTTACTTTGTGCTATTTTCTAGTTGAAACAAGTATCTTAGCTCTAGTATTTGGAATTCACTTTCTAGTATTTGGAATTTACTTTCTTATGTACTCATGGTTTTTTTGCAACTTCTATCCAATACTTATAGTTTTTAGCATGAAATAGGCTATATTTTAATAATATAGGTTAATAATAATGATTTTTATGAATGATCATCTTATATTCTATATTTATATCAAGACCTTTATACTTACAAGATTCTTACATGATTTCATCTTCAAGATTGTATTTTTGCTACAACTTATTCTAGTAGCCACCATGATATTCGACCATTTATAACTACATCTAATTCTAATAAGTATGAATGGTTTCAAGCTATAATCCAATCTTTTCTTTTCTTTGTGTTTGAATGGGCCTCAATCTCATTAAATGCTATTTACAACTTGGGCAATTTTTTCACAATTCCTTTCCAAAGAATGAAATTAGTCTTTGCCAAGTTTCCATGTATATGCATAGTACAACCAATTTGGATCTCAAATATATTGCAAACAATTGATTTCATGTTCATCTTCATATTTTTAATTTCTATATTTACTCTAATATTGCTAATATAAATCGTCTTTTTTATTGCAAAATCATTGTAAATGACCTATTCAAATTTTTCATAATCTTATGTCATAAAAAAGCCAAGAGCTAAATATTGATGTAACTTCTTGATTAATTTAGAATATAAACATACTATCTAGCCAATAAAGAGTCCATTTGGTTTTATTTTTTAATTATATGATTATATTATAATTTAATAAATATTCAAAATCTTATTATCTATAGAAATAAATATATATATATATATATATATATATATATATATTTTCTAAAGCTTTATCCTATTCTTAATTTCTAATCTAAGCATATAAAAGTCATCTTTTATTATATGTATAAATAAGTTCTTAAAGATTAAGTCACTTTTTAATATTTACCAATGAAAGAGATGTCTATTAAAGATTGATTATACTATTAATGGATATTAATTTCTTTTAATTCAAGGAGTTATTTTGTTTACATATTCCACATCACTTAATAGTCTCATTACTTACCATCATCAGTTTTCCTACTACTACTATAGATCCAAGAAATTAGAGATGTATTGATCAAAGGTCTTAAAGCTAATCTCTCTACCCAAAGTTTTGTAATTCTAAAAACATCTTAATTGATGATCAATTAGCTTTAATTATCGTCAAGTATTATAATATCAATAGATATAGTTTGTACATTAAGCAAGAAAATTTAGGATAAATTCAAACTTTGCTCAATGAAGTTCGAATTTTTTTAGATATATTTTTTTGTATTTAAACACTCCTTTATTCAATTCAATATGAATATAATGAAACACATAGTTTTTTTTATCATTATGTTCATCTTCATTCAACTTTGTTTTAGAGTTTAATACAATATACACATCTTGGTATCAAAAATCATGGCTTATTGTCAAAATAGTTTCAATTGTTACAAAAAATGTGTATACTATTGAATTCAATCTAATCTATGTGGTACCATTGCAACTAGCATAAAAATACAAAGAAAAAATGGCAGCACCTCAAATAAAGTATTGATCAAGAAAATGTTTTAAAGAAATTAAACTCACAAACTACAAAGGAGCATATTAAAAGAGTAGAAATGGAAAGATGTTCCAATATCCTCTCTTTGATACAACTTGGTCTTTTCCCAAACCTTTATAAACCTTTGAAAATTGCCTAGTTTCAAAGGTTGATGTAAAGAATTTTATTAGACTCAATTCTTACGATCTTAATGGAGCACAAGTGGAGAAGTGACATCATGCAAAGTTCTATGTAGTAAAACATAGATACATTCTTAGAATCTATCTTTCTTAGAAAAAATACAATGGTAAAGTGAAGGATTTTAAAAGAGTTGAATTTGAAGCTTTTAGAATTAAGAGAAAGGATAAGAGATTTATCAGCGAATAGTACTATTTTAGATGTTTTAAGCTAAGTCTATTACAATCTAATTTAAACTTAGTGCATACCATTGATTTGATTAGCATGTCCATAAGTTGATCTTGAGTATTTGTATAAATTACTTTGATTCTATTTGATTTAATTTTATTTCTAATGAAGCATCCATCATTTTAAAAATATTTTATCTTATCATGAAATACAAGATTGTAGGATATTTTAATTCTACTTTGATTATTATATCTTATGATGGTTAGTCTCATACTTGAAACTTAAAATTCTTGTAGCAATATGCACAATAATATGGCTTTCAATATGTAATTTGCCAAAAAGTGATAGTCACATTTACAAGAAGATTGTCAAGGACAAGAACTCGATGAAAGCTAAAGAGTAAGTGAGACTCTTCTCAAAAAGAAATAGGACAAAATAGAAATATGTATATTAAGAAAGAAACTGGAATGGCTATTGCCAAAATACAAGAAAACTAGAGACCCTTGAAACTAGACTAGAAGCAAGAAAGGAGTTGACAAGAGTGAAGAAGCCTTCACTCTTGTCTCTATATATACTATCTAACTAGGGGCTACGTGGCGACGTTCTATAGGACCTCCAATATGTGTTGACTTTGTAGGACACATGCCTTGACTTACAAGGCAAGTTTTTCTACGTGTGGGCCACATAGTTAGCTTGATCTTCAAGCTAACAACATGTGTGGCACATGGCCAACTTGTTGACCACGTTTCTAATCCAAAAAGTCAATTAAAGACACCTATGAAGTCAAAGCAGCGTCTAGGAAGTTTCTAGGAAGCTTCTATATTAAATATTATACAATTAACTTACTTTTATCTACTTTTACTTACTTCTACCTATTTCTATATGTAATTATTAGCTTACATGATTATGGCCGTGACATTACCCCCCCTTCTAGAGACGAGTTCCACGAAGAGTGGTCATCATATGTTGAGGAAATCTATGATGCGACGAATTGTATTCGCCACATACTCTGATCTCTGTTCTCTTCGAAGATGATTGATAGGGCCTCTCAACCATCGGTAGTGTCCCATACCAAGGCGGGAAGACCACCCAGTTATTTGATCATTATTGAGGCCTTCATAACTTCCTTCGAATAGAATATTCGGAACACCATCAGGAGTTGTTCCTACCTCTAGCAAAATCACCAAACATCGGGAGTCCCTTCCCAAATCGTGATACCAAACGCGTTGTATCTCACCATCTGTTCGAGGAAGAACATGTCGTTCTTGAAGATCTTCATCTCGATTGCGTCGTCTTGAAGGTTGTGATAATCGTAATGTCTCGTCCGGCAGGTCAGCAAACGAAGGTTCTTGAGTTGAATCTGTTGGTTGTTGGCTCTCCATCTAATTAGCGTCACAAATGCAAAGAAGTTACAAACAAGGATAGGAAATTGAATGTTATCTTGCCTCAATCTTGTCTCTTTTATAAGAGAGATTTTCATCTTGGTTTTGATGGATGTCGTCGATGAAAAACTTTGACTTTAGCTGATGCATTTGCTAGATTCCTGGATGGCTCCCATGTGCGTTCACTAATATCATATCCGCGCCAATGAACAAGATATTCCAGCTTATTTCGGCACCGCCTTGAGTCTAATATCTCTTCCACCTCAAATTCTTCATTATTATCTAC